TGCCAAGGCGGAGAGACTCAGCACGACAGTGTCTCCTGAGTACATACGTCTCCTGTCTGCGTCTCCCGAGGCCAATGGAAGGTGAGATCAATCACGATGGCGATGCCACCGTCCACGCCATGCAGTCCCGTGGGGTTTAGGCTCTAGACTCTAGAAACCTCCTACCAACAGAGCTGTAATGACAAGCTGCAGCTAGCCAACCGTCCGTTAGAAAACCTGGGATTCCAACCTCGGCCGCGGTCAATCACCTCTCGCCGAGCCCTTGTTTCGTTTCACACCTGTGCGATTCCCCACGGCGTCGTGTTGAATCTAGGGCTTGGCTTCCTTACCTAAGGAGGGATTTCAGGGGGACAGGGGGGGCCGAAAACGAGGGCCTCCGCGTGGTAAGGGGCGCTGGGACCCCAGAAACGTGCATTGCTGGGTGGGTAACCAGCCCCCCTGCGTCCACCCCCCTGCCTCGCCTGGTGCGGATATGCAAGATTGATTGGATCTGGATAATATTGACAGCAAAAAGGGTCAATCGATTGTCACTCCAGGAGGAGCAACCCTGCAGCGGCAGCAGCAGCAGGAACACGAGAGATCTGCTTTTGGTGCTGGTGCTGATGCCGCCGATCGCCGGGAACGGCTGGCTCTTGCCTGTGGGAGTGAGCAATTTGCAACTTCAAGGCCTGACTCGAGATAGTTAATGGAAGGAAAGGCTTGGAATGGTAAGGCCAAGTGCTGTCCATGTGCAGTATTGTGTGTACGAGCGTGCGTCTTGTTGAAATAAGGTCACCTGCGGATTAGAAATATTGCCGTGCTGGTCTGTTGCATAGCCCGATCTGCCATATATACCTTTATCTATCTACATACCTAACTTGGGTAGTAGAGCTCTAGACTCTAGAGAGAAGCGACTCTAGGGGCCAAGATCCTTGGCATAGAGCAAGTATATCTTTGCGCTTGGATGACTGATGCATCGATGGTGGATGATGGATCATGCGACGGGCCACCTGAGGCGGTCAACAGCAAGACGCCACTTGTCGGCCAAGTTCCGCAACTGTCAAGGTTGCGCCCGGCGGCGAAGTTATCAGCCACGAGAGGCCCTGGCGGCGGAATGTTGTTGTTTTGGCCCATGATAAGGTCAGGTCATCCGCAGGTTCAATTGTTGTTGGGCTAGGTACGCAGGTTGATACGTGGGCGTCAACGGTGTTGGCATGGCGCATGATGTCTGATTGGGCTGGAATGCTCTTTTGCTGTGCTGGACTCTGGGACACGCAGTGTGAGGCCCAAAGTTTGGACCCCTCACTGCCTCCGCTGTGAGGGGTCGTGGCTTCCTGTGAGGCAGACAGTCTGCTAGGTCCGCCCCACTCGACGTTAGCATCCACCGCGCATTTTGGTGACTCAACAAACAGTGCCCCAAATCATCCATCCACTGGCGAGGAGGGAATGAAAGACAAGCAAGCAGCAAAAATCATCGGGACGGAATAGGGGATGGAACATAACGTCCAATCGATAGTTCGTAATCTGCAGTCCGGGCCTGGATTGAATAATTTATTTTCAACGTATCCGTACCGGTAAAGAGCCGGTTTGCACACCTCCTGAAAAGCCCCCTCGATTCCCTTTCTGGGGTTGAGTCTGGCGCAAACCGCTTTCAGCCAAGCACGAACCCCTCGCTTGTTTCAAGTCTGAACGTCGGGCTCACGATCCGCCAATGGCAGCTAGCGGCCGTCGGCTTGCTGGCACTTGGAGATTGGGCCACGGGCTCGCTAACCATTCATCAAAGGGGTTATGCACAGCAGTGTTTATGACATGGGTCGAATGCAAATCCAGAGCCATTCAAATCGCCGTAGCACCAGCCTTCAAAGGGCGGGAAGGCACGGCAAGGCCACCGACAGCAAGCCACGGCCTTCCGCCCGGAGCCACTTGCTAATGACTCGGTCCCGCACGAAGACGCGCAGGGCCAGCTTCTCGGTCTAATCTACGGAGTACCTCTAAGGTATCTACGCATTGGTGGGTCGAGGTCAGGTCAGGTAGGCATTCGAGGGATGGCGGGAGGAGAAAGAAGCAATGCAGCTACCTTACTGCGTAGCTAGTAGAAACCGAATGCAAAGGGCGGCGTTCGACGACCACGTAGAGTCTCCCCCGTTTGCCATCTCATCCGATGATAAAGTTGCGACGTTGTCACCCATCGCATCCCTTCTTGCTGGAATCTGCAATCTGCAATCTCAAGCATTCCAGTCTCGGGAGAATACCATTATTGTAATATCGCGAGCGCAGGCCGGAACTTCCTGACTCGGCAACAGCCTCCCTGCGGTCGACCCTCCGTGCTTCAGTCTATCTCATACAACCCCACAACCCGAGGCCAAGGCGGAGAAAAGGGGTGGTTTTTCTCCTTTACGACATCGACGAGCCCAGTGGACGACGGCCCAGGACGCGAGCAAATTCTATCGACCGCCACGATCCTCACTGTAATTGACGCATTCTGCTCACACAAATCCCGGGCGTTTGCTCTTTTTTATTCTAGTTCTTTCCTTGCTGCCCTGTGCGGTGTGCTGTTTGTACGCAGTGCTGCTGTCCCTTGCCCTAGGTTGGCTCTCGGCCCTGTGCGAAGTAAGTTGCACTCTTTCTTCTCCTCCCTGAAATGGCAGAAAATATATCGAAGCCTGGCACGTTCGCGTGTGTCCCCCTGGGAAAGCATCTCGCACAATCGCAGCAGCCTACAAAACTCGTCCAGGAGCCGCATCCATCGTCGAGCTTGGACAAGCTTGGACGTAGGCAGAAACGCACCCTAGACTAGGCCGCCATTCATCTCTTCCCTATTCTGGCCTTGTACCACGCCGCACAAGGCCGCCCTTCACTCGCAGCTTGGGACGACATTCAGGATTCTGAAAAAGCTCACCGCAAGTCAGCTAGCTAACGATCTTCTCGAAGCCGTTCTTTTTTCCCTCTTTTTCGCGTTAGGCAGCTCGCTCCTCAGGCATCTTGCCCGTCGTATCGCCCAAGCAAGCCTGTAATAGGCCGAGACGGGCCAACGACCTCACGGCAGCTCCATCCTACCCAAGTTCCAGGCCTGCCCTCACACTGACTCGCCTGGGGCCCGCTCGACTCTTTTTTTACCTATTCGCCCGCCTGACAGCAGCCAACCCCGCTTCGCCTCCCAGCTGCCGCTGCGACTGGAGACGCCAGCACGAATCATCCCCCGCTGACAAGTCGCACTGGGCGACTGCTCGAACACGCTTCGCAGGGCGCTCCACGTACCAGTCCCCGACCGCCATTTGTTTTTGGCGCGCGACTGCCCCTACCCAAGCTTCAGGGTGACCATCCAACCTAGCCACCCTTACCGCGAGCGTGCATCTTGGGACGACATTTCACCCATATTAATCCCGCCGGAGCCCTCGAGGCCCGGATCTAAAATAACAGGCGCAGTACTTGGACTTGCACCACCATCCAGCCTCAAGCACCAGGTTTAGTGCTTGCTTGCTGCGTTGCTTGTCCTTCCCTCTCTACCTTATCACCTTCCATACAAGTTCCGCTGGCTCGGAATTTCCCGCTTGAGCACCGCGATCGCATCCTCCCCTACTACCTAATACGGACGGCATTGTCTCGGCATCGTCGACCGACCACCGACTTGAGAAGGTGCCCGAACTGAGGAGCTATAGATCGACTGTACTGACTCCAAGGGGCTTGTGATCGCGGATTGGCCTCTGCGACGCTACTTCACACTTCCCCATCTTGGACAAGAAGGGTAGCGCCAAGTTTAGCAGCACCGCATCTCGGCGCTCTGACTCGCATCTCTTCTACCTCGACACAAGGTCCTACACTTACTTGTACGGGGTTGTCTGTCTCGTCGATTCCCTTATTATTTGACTGGTGCCAGTGCCGCGTCAGTCTCCCCTCACGAAACCAGCAAAACTCCCCACCACCCGAAACAACAGCGGACCCGAGGACAGATTTGCTTCGTGATCTTCTCGCCTGCTGCCCTCCGCCACATTTGTTCCTCCGACTCTCCGTCGTCGGCATCAACTTCGGTAATCCTGTGACCCACCTCCGGGATCGCCACTGGATTTCACGCCTGAATTTGGGATTTGCCCTGCCAATCTACACGAGCTGCATTACGCCTGCCACTCGGCGCCACTGTCAGAACCGACGCCGCCAGAGATCTCGTCGAGTCAAACTGCATTTTGCTGCGCATCCCGCAGTCTTTTGTGTTTCCGAGGCATTTGCATTCGGAGCGGAAAATCCGCCCAAACACCCCGGTCGGAGTTGGCCGTCCAGTGTGATCGAGGCTCCCTCACGGCTGATTGGCACAGCGGATCTTGTCTCGCCTCCTGCCACTGCCAACCCTGCCTGCATTCCAGCCAGACTAGCCACGCCTGGAACCCGCTGATCCCTGATCATTCCCCCCAATCCCCGACCGACCGACACAGTGGGCCGCTATCCACCCCCCCGTCCCCGCACCCCTGTCCGCCTGGTCGTGGAACGCCTACGCTCAGCCTCGTGGACTTGCACGTCACCTTCTGACGAAAAGCCACTGAGACACGCAGCCATCATCGGCAACCCGTGCACCCCACCCAGAAGCCTCCCAGAGCAGCCCACGCTGCAGCCCCTGGCGCTCTTGCAGCCCTTTTCTCAACCTTGCCCAGCCCGCCAATCCCGTATACCCGGCCACGCTTACCTAGGCCTAATTACTACTCTACAAACTTACCCCAACATTTTCACATGAGCTTCGCCGCACGTCAACTCGTGTAAGTAAGCCACAGCGCAGCACATCAGTCCCACCACCCACTACTTGATATATTACCTCGGCGGCGCACAATCCTTCACTGGCGCGTCTCTTCTCGAACTCTTTTCGACAGTTTCGCAGTCCAGCTTTCGCCTTCTCCCGGAAGAGCAGGTGCCTTATAACGGTCGTGGTCTCGCACCTAAAGTTTTTATTAAACTTTCGCCGACCGACGCACACGCAAGTGCGCATACACGCACAACAACAGCACCCCCACATCCCCTCCGCAATGGACGCAACGATGAGCACAACAAGGGACGCAACAATATCAGGCCTCCTAGTGGATGAGCGCACTGACTACTACTCCTCGGCCCCGGTCAAGATAATACCGGACCTCTCAGAGGATGAGCTCAACGCCGCAGCCCTCGAGGTTTTCGTCTACAAGGCCGTCGACCAGCGCATGATCCGGTACCTTGCCGATGCGGCCTTCAACGTCATCCAGTGCGACCCGAGCATGATGCCGCCGCCCCCGACGACCGACCTGAGGTCAAGAGTCGCCTCCCCGCCGCAGACCCCCCCGCCGCGAGCAGTTCGGTCCGAAGACGGCGGCCTGCCCTCCCTCCAAGAGTTCATCACTCAACTCGTCATCTCGTCTAACGTGCAGGTGCCGACTCTCATGTCGACGCTTGTTTACCTCAACCGCCTCAAGTCGCGGTTGCAGCCCATGGCCAAGGGCCTGAGGTGCACCACACACCGCATCTTCCTGGCATCTCTGATCCTCGCCGCCAAGTACCTAAACGACAGCAGCCCCAAGAACAAGCACTGGGCAAGCTACAGCAACATCCACACGAGCGCCTATAGCTTCGGCTTCACCCGCACCGAGGTCAACCTGATGGAGAAGCAGCTGTTGTTCCTGCTGGACTGGGACCTGCGCATCAGCGAGGAGGACCTGTACCGCGAACTGGACCACTTCCTGTCGCCTCTTCGCAACGAGATTAGGACTCGCAACGCCCGTCGTGCCGAGAAGATCCAGCGCCAGCTGGATGAGGAGGCCTGGATCGCGGTGGCCAAGAACTCTGCCGCCAGCTCTTACATCTCTCCTCCTTCGTCGCGAGACACCTCCCGCTCGCGCAGCAACTCGGACCGCGACGTCTCGCCTCCTGGTCTCTACAGCAGCAGCTCCTCATACGCCGGATCAACCACGAGCCGCGCAACCACGCCCGACGACCTCGACTCGGAGCCGCATCCGTACATCTACAACTGCCCCGAGGAGTTGTACGACCCGCCGGTTGAGGTCATCATGGATCGGCCATCCGTCCCCGAAAAGGACTCGATCTATGCGGGCGGTAAGCTCCAAAAGACGACCAGCGGCAAGCAGCTTCTGCCTTACGAGATCAGCGCCGAGGAGATGCGCAGCCTCGAGGATGGCAGTCGTGTCACCGTCAAGCGCATGCGAGGCATGCTTGGACGCGTTTTTGGAAATAATGGGTCCGCGGCTGTTGTGGGACGATAAGGTGACGCGCACAGGGATGTGGTTCATTCACGACACGAGACATGACTTTGCATTTCAGCACTTACGGCATTGATTGCGTTGTGCACAATCTGGAGTTTGGCGGTTTTGGTGTGTTTTCTTTTTCGGTTTTCTTTTTTTTACGGCATTCTCAAATGCCTCATCAAAAGCGAGGTGTTTAACGGGTCTTTTCTGTATGAGCCTACGGGCTCGGGAAACAAATTTTCATCTTGCATGCATTGCATGGCGACGGTGGTAGAACGGGACAGACTCGGACGGCCGGTTCGCATGGTGCTTTTACTGGGCGGCGCGGCAACAGCTCGGGTGGCCGAGCTGGTGTTCTTTTTGCAACACGCCATATACTTGGATTGGCAAGGCGTTTTCTATTTCACGTCAATGTGTCAATGTGCCAATGCTGACACGCGGGAGGCTTATACCGTATCATGAACAAGGAAGGCATGACACTCTGTCACTCGAATAATTTGGTTGTTTACTTTCGGTCTTGCAAATAGTGGCTGTTGGCCGATGACAGTGGTGGCCTTCTGTATACTAATCGAGCTAATCAGTTGCTTTGCCAGAGAATGGGCATTCGGGAAAGGCGGCTTCTGGGGTATTGGCATCTGGGTATGTACTAGATAGGTTCGATAGGCATCTACTTAAGCTAATGAGGATCAGGAGAAAGTATTCTTCCATCGCGAATCCGTTTGTTCTATTACATCCGTGCACAGGAAGTGAAGCTGGTAATTTGCTCGTGATTCGGTTTGAGTGTAGATGAATGGCATACGGTTGCTGAGAAGAAGTCGCAATACATCCAGTGCAGATAGTAGTTTCGTACCAAACTACGCTTTGCCCAACACTGTGCTTTTATAATCCTCTGAATCTTCTCTTTGCTTGCTGAGCCTTTACGATTTCCTTCCTTGACGTTCTCTCATCTGGACTTTATTCTGCTTGTCTCTTGCCTCCCATTAAGAATAAGATATAAGAACGACTTTTCTCCTTTTCTCAAGTGCTATTTGATCCTACCTCAATTCCTTTTGGGTTCTGTATTTGGTACTATCTAGCAACGAAAGATGGCTATTCCACTTCTCAACACCCACTTCCCTTGTTAGTTATCAACAAGGGTAATTCGACTACAATAGATTTACATATTTTTCCTTTTCTTTTTGGGAAAGCATGACATCACATGGTTGGGTATATTGATGTCTAATTAATCCACGCCAATATCTGTTGTAGTGAGACTGACTCTGAAATACCTTTTTCTTTTATTTCGTCTACTCAAGCCTCAAAGAGCGACTTCTACAGGTAGGTCTGTCACTAAAGTGAAATGGCTTAATTATACCCATCACTACGCACGAATAAAACGTTCACATGAAATATCACTACGGCCTTGGATCGAGCCCATGACCGACCTACTGGAGGTTGGGAAGTATTTAGCCCAGTTTCTTTTGTCTAGAAGCAAACTTATCTCAAAGCTTAGTTTCTAAAGACTTGTAGCACGAATTCAAATGCCGAGCCGCAAGCTTGATGTACCCAGGTTTTGACAATAACCAAAGTATCAGAGACCAGTTCTAGGCTCGTGAGAAGATAAATCACTTCTCTTGCTCCATAACCGTCTTTGGTCTATCCAGCATTGTTGAATACGCGTAACCCGTGGCCTTATCAGTTTCGGCTTCCTCGATTGCTGTGGAGATGGCTGATTGGTCTGCTGACTCTCGCAGATTTAAGCCAAGTCAAGTTTTCGCGCATCTGTATTGGCGCGCAACAGGCCTTCGTGAGATATTAGACTCGGTTGCGGCTGAAAGAGCCTCGTACGTAGTGCTTATGACGGCACGCGTAATTATGTCAAATTCGACTGCGCCCGAGAGGGGCATTTGCGTCTTACTACGAACACTTCATTTCACCTGCATAGTAGGGCAATCACACTAGCGCAGGCACTCTGAGATTTGAGGCTGAGGATTTTCCCAATCGTAATTACCTCTTTGGACCCCACCCCCGGAGACAGCCACGCTAACAGCTGTGGGCTTGTGGCAGGGCTGGCTGCCTTACTTGTCGTCACAGCCGTTCCGGTTGGGGGGCGGTCGTGAGGCGTTGCCATGCTATGCTTCGCTCCGGTGCTTGGTCCTTCCGGGGAAACCCGCCGTCTGATGAGATGAGAGCGGCGGGTGAGCACAGGGGTGATTGAAGCGCGCCTTGCAGAGAGAGTGACCAAAGTAATAGGTACGCATTGTTTTCTACATCCGGCTCACGCCGTGCCCGCTTGGGGGGTGGTCATCTCCAAACTTGGCAATTGGCGAGGCCTCAATTAGTTATTGTCCGTGCAACGCACATAATCACGGCGAAATGACTCGGAATCATCCCCTCCCATACGTATTGCATGCACTGCGTTTTTGCAGATGCAGATGCGATGCAGCTGCCCATTCTGCCTGCCAGACCGCCCGAATGAATGCCCACTGATGGCTTGCTTGTGCAGACAAACACTTGTCCGTACCTTGCATATCGGGCAGGGGGCGCCCCGCTGTTTAAGCCATGGGCGTTCTGCTGGGTTGAAACGCGCATGTGCATCCTGCCTGTGGCGGCGAGGGGGGCCGCCGCCCAGCAAGCACAGCCACGCTTCGCAAAGTTCCAGGATGGAAGGCAGAAGATTTAGGTGGGGTGGTGGCCTCACTGAGTCGCTCACGTGCGAACCGCTGGAGCTGGAAAATTGCGCGTCAAGTTGCCGCTAGCTTCGCCGAGACGCAGGGGGCCCGATGAAAACTCGGTTTTGCGCGCCGGCCTCCGATTGATTGTTTCTTCTGCTTGGAGGGATGAAAGCTTGTTTCCGCAGGCATCGCGCCAAGTGCGAGGCGGAAGGCCACGAAGTTCCAGGCGTCTTTGGATGTTTTTTTGCGCGTGACCAATCAGAGCGGTGGTGGCTTGGCTGTTTGAAATGCGCCACTCAGCTTACAGTGGAAGAAGGTACGTACGCGTCCAGGTGGCAAGCCAGGTACCTGCCTGCCTACACGGCGCGACAACAACCAGATCTGGACAAAGGTCGACGGCGTCCGCGGCGTCGGCCTCTTTGGGAAAATTAACTGTTTCGGGCGACTTACGCTGCTCGTATGTTGACCTGCGTATCCTTCTGTAGCGGTGTTTGTTTGTGTGCTGGCAGGCAGGAGCGACTTCCCTACAAGTACAAACTCAAATCTCACGGCCACCGTTGGTTTGGTCTTGCTGCCTAAAAGCCTCCAACTTCATCATCGCCAACCGTATGGGGCCACAGCTCGACAATCGTGGCTCAGTACGCCCAGTAGTAAATAATCAGGACAAATTTCCGCAGGGATAATTATGACGCCTTGCTAACGCCTCCTGATGATTCTTCGGCGTCTCTGAAGGCGCGATGGCGGCTATCCGGACGAACAAACTGTCCGTGGTTCAAGTCCCAAGCAAGCCATGTGACTTGGTGGAAAAGAAATAAAATGCTCGACGGCTAACTACGCGCGAAGACTGAGGCTGCTGTGCGATATTTGCATTCATCCTCCTGTTGCCCGTCGTTGTCCGAGCGGTGTGCATTGAAAGGTTGATGGGTTATTTGGAGTGCTTCTGATGCAACTTCCCATCTCGAAGAGGGTCAATTAGTCAAGAGTCATTGATTTGAATATTCTAGTCTGCTTCCGAGCGTGTTGCCGGGCATCGACAAACTTGTTTCTCGAGGCCATCAAGCCGTTCCTCGCCATTATCTGCAACTTCACATCCGGTGGCCTCTCCACGCCATAAGCAGCTCATCAAGAAACTTGCAGAGCTCGAGATCGGACTCTTTTTAAGGTCCAACGTCATCCCGGAGTTCTTGATCTCTGTATCGAGGTCCGCCGTTTTTTCTTAGTTAGTGAACGACTTCTTGCCGTTGTTGACTAGTTGCCGGTAGTTAAGACAGCAACAGGACAAGCTCATATTATACCCTACGGGCTCCTGTACAAGCACAAATAATGTGGGCTCTCGCCGATGATTAATATTTTGCGTCGTGATTAAGTGTTGAGACAGCTCGACTGCTCCGCGAACGGATGAGATTCGGCTGGCTAGCACGTCTCGCGTCTCTTGCACGCGCCGACGCTGCAAGATAAAACGCACTCAGCGGTGGCTCCAATGCTCGAGACGATTTGGTTCGACGACATCTCTAAGCTCTTGTGTACGTATCTCATACGATACGACCCCTGTTACGTGGATTAGACTTGGTCGAGAGCACAGCTCCCAAGCTCATGAGCTAGGTATATGAGCAATGAGTAGGCGGCATATTATTGAGTTCATTTCTCAGTCCAGACACCATTCCTACGCTGTTCAGAGAGATGGCCCTTCTTTTCCCGCCCAGGTTTCCCTAATGTCTAGAGGTTTCGATTTCACATCCTGCCAACGCCCTCTTCGATCTGCCGTTAATCCAACAGGCCCGCCCACCAAGTCACCTTTGGACGGACGTTCTCTTAAGGTCTGGCTGGGCCGCTGGCGAGACATCGCTCAAGACCTGCAAAGCCTCGCTGAATCATTTTTGGGTCCTGGAATCATCGCGCAGTCGTTGGGCATGTGCTGGCGCGTCATCAGTTGGACGATTGTCAGAATGAAGAAAACAAACCCCCCCCCGGACATGGGCACATTACGGATGGAAGACGGCCCAGTTCACAAAAGGCCGGGATGGAATCCAACTCAAGCCGAGGCAAGTATATTCAGACCCTCTTCAGCTGGGCCCGAGGTCGGTAGCTGTCTGTCTGAAACGCCGTCCGGTCACCGGCTCGGGCCCCCCGTTGCAGCTCAGTGGATTGAGACTATACCTTACTTTGTCTCTCTCATTCACTTAATTGCAGCGTGCACCAAGCGGGTGTTTACTTTGATATTCTGGTTACGGGCCTCGTCTCTGGGTGGTCCCTGATGTTGCGCCCCATACTAGTCGCTTCACCATGCCGCGGACAGCCATGCACAGAATATCTTGGGACTGCATCCGCTTCCCAGAGTTGCTGGGTTGGTATCCACTTCTCGGGCTGCAAAACTCTTTTGACCCGGGGGTGGCCCTTTGGCTTGGATGCAACCACGAATCCTGGGTATAGCGGAGTATCAACTCCTAGCACCATCTTGGGGGGCGGAATAAAGTGAATCAAGGGGGACTAACCAGCGGCAACCATGACAGCCTGACCATGTGAGCATGCTGGTGATTTGGACTCGAGTCTAGTTGCCGTTCATACGAAGGTAATTAACCATGTGCAAAAAATACTGTACCGTAGTTAACTACCTGGGAGGCAGACATTTACGAATGTATAAAGTCTCGCTGTTTCCCGCCAATGGCCTGACCGGAGCTGACTGTGCGTGTTTAAGGCATTTGGTTGATGGGCGGTTGCAAGGCAAGGAGTGGTGGGTGATGGGGTGGGGGGGTCGTTGTGTTAAGATTCAAGATGGGCGGCTTTACAATGTACACAATGGCTCCTCAATGGACAATCCAGTCTCACATCCCAACATTCATACAAGAACTGTCTGCATCGGGTGAAATTTGCCGTGACGTCTCGTAGTAGCGACCCACATTCAGCTGATGATACAGTGTAGAGACGTCAACAACTAATCCGAAGACTTTCTTGAATTCGTGATATAGACTAGAAGTTACCAAACCGTCAGCACCTCGACTTTTTTCTCGCCCCTCTCCACATCCGTCCAGACCTGGCCAGAAATGGCCCCAAAGACGTAGCTTGCATCCAGCAGCCTCACCATGCTCTCCTTGCTATCCAGGCCTGCTACGCCGTCGCCAACTACCCTACAAATATACGGCATGCGTACGTGCCCGAGCACCCACACGGCATCGCCCACGCGGGCGTCTGCCGGCCCGAGGCCAATGTGACCCGCGTCGGTGACGAAGAAGCGCTTCCCGTCGCACACGCCCAGGATCGTCTCGGCCTGCAGCCGGTAGCTCGACAAGGCGTCCTTGAAGATGTCCGCAAGGGGGATTTTCTCCTTTTTCTTTTTCTTCTTGGGTTTTCCTTTTCCACTCCCGGTCTCTTCCCCGGCTGGCACCACCACTTCATCCTCCGCTGCATACGGAGCCGAGCTTGGTGATGGCGGCGACGCGGATGGCCGGGAGCGGGAGTTGCACGCCCCCGTTTGGCTGGTCACGAGGGGGGGAGGTAGTGATTTCAGACAGGGTCTAGTTCGGCTTGCTAGTGGTTTCTGCCATGTCCCTCTGCTGCTGTCCGTAGCTTCTGAAGCCGGCGCGGATGTAAATCTCGGAAAGGTGCTCCCCGCCCTAGACCTGGGCGCTCGCGCAGATGCTCCAGTCGGAGGCCCACGAGGGCAGGCTGGGGGTAGGCGAGCCGGCGACGACGAGGCGTAGGAACCTGTCGAGGCCGACAGCGACGTCGGTCTAGACCTGGCCCGCGGAGCGGCCGAAGTAGTCGGGCGGTAGCTCGACGGTCCTGTGGCGTGGCACTTGGCGGAGGGCGTCGTCATGCTCGAGCCCGGACGCGCGCAGCTACGCGAGTGTCTTGTCGTACTCGGCGTCGACGAGCGGCAGCACGGTGTAGACCTTGTCGCGCGCGTCGGTGGCCTGGCTTGGCCGTCTCAAAGGGTTTCCTTCCCATTACAGCCTTCGACCTCGACCTCGACCTCGACCTCGACCTGGACGGGCACGACGCACGAGGCATTGCCCTACGTGTATGACAGAGACTCGTAAGGCGGAGCGGTGCTGAGGCGCGAGTCTACGGGGCGGATCTTGACCGGGTCGTCATGCTGCCCGGGGAGCAACTCTAGTAGGCGGAACGAATCTTCGGCGTCGGGCAGCGTTATCTGCTCCGTTGCTGTGCTCGAGTCTACCTCTATTTCTGTTTTCGTATCTCTCTTTTGGCGCTTGCCCATCTGATTCTGCAGAGGGTGGAGGAGGTGCTGCTGAACTTCGACACGCGCCACCGATGCCATAGGCCCACCGCTTAAGAACAAATACTGCTGATCCGCCTCCACCGTACACCAAAAGCTCAACCGCCCCGCTGGACTCGGTGTGCCCAGATGCCGGCAGCAGATGTGCGGCGGTCGACACAACCACCATCATCAACATTACCACGGCCATCTCCACCACCGCGTTCAACCTGCCCACGGACAAGGTTTCCGCTGCGACACTGTGGCGGATACCATTTTTTTGTCCAAGCCAGATAGATGTATTTATGCCGAAATTTGACGCCTACTAACAACAACACCGCTGCTTGAGAAAACTATCCGAAACATGAGACAAAACACGTACGCCGCGTTCGGGCTAGGTTGCCCCGGTGAATGCTAGGGCAATACCGGGCAGAGACAGCAAGGCCCAGAGTTTAACAATTAAAATTCAATGACTTTTCCGACAGACCCGGGCTCCTTGAACCCCCCGAAAATAGTACCAGGCCAAGAGGTCGAGCAAACGTCGGTTTATTTTTCAACCAGGCCTGGCCTGGCCCCTCGGCCGAGTGGGGTTTAAAATCACCTTGGCGGCTGCAGCCTTACCTGTGAAATGGCGGGTGCCGCGAGCGAGCGTCGGTGGGGGCCTCCCAAGTCTTGCCGAGGACGAGGACGTGTTGGTACAAACACTCCAAGAATAGGTCAGGCAATGTTTCAGCAAAGCCAACAGGCCAGGGAGCCAGAGTCGGGTCCACGGATTCAGGGGGCCCGGGGGGGAGGACGCGGCGGCGGCGGCACGGGGGGTGGCCGACTGTTGACCGGGTTCCTACATGTGCCGCCAACCCACAGATCCAGCCGGGACAGTGAGTTTTCATAATCCCGGAAGCAGCCCCCGCTTGACGAGCGAATGTTGGGAATCAAATTAACCTTTGCTTTCACAGTCTACAGCCCCGTTACCTTTATCAACTGTAACATCCAGGATACCGGTCCATTGTCGAACAAGATGGCAGATAAGCCAACCAAACCAACCAGCGCCGGAGGAAGTGGGAATCCCCTCCATGGCGTTACCGGTAAAGAGAAGACACCCGCTAAGCCAGGCTCTCTTACATCGTCGTCTAGCAGCCTTGCTGGTTCCAGCCTGGCTGGCTCTGGCAGCACGGCATCCGCGGGAATTCCAGGCGCCATCCCCGCTAATCAGCTCAACCCTTCTGATTCTGAAATATTCAATGAAGCGAAGGCACAGAGAAAGGCACAGGAGAGTAAAGACTTTTGGGACATGTCAAAGTACGATTACATGAATGTAGACATTCGTCTCTTTGCTGACCGGAATGCCGCCACTGGTCCGAAGTACGTCGGAACCAGGAGTAAAAAGTTGCACGAATGCTCAACCTGGGCCGTCAGTTGCCCTTCCACGTGCTCCAACCCCTAACTAGACGACCTGGGAAGGTAGCTGATCGTGTCTATCACAGAATCTTTTCAAACAAGTTATGCATCGAGAGGATCTTCGTGAAATTTTCGCCTTTGGCCCATTAGAGAATCCCGAAGACGTCAAATTCAACAGAGAGCAGCGACGTTGGGAAGCACCGCTATGTCATTTTACTCTTCCTGCGCTGGAGGCTCATGGCCAATTACGAATGCTGAAAGACCCCGTGGACAATGGAAAACCGCTCCCGCCGAAGGAGAAAATACCCGATGAGAAAGACGCGGTGGACTGCAGTGCCATTTTGTACGAGAGCAAGCTCAAATCGTTTACACAAGCGTGCGATGCTCATAGCCTCAATGACAGCAGTTTCAAGCCCAGACTGATCATATGGGTGGTTATTTAGATTTGAGAGTTGCGTAGGTAGTTGTTCATGCTCCAAATTGCGGACAGGCACCAGTTGAAGCGAGCCCTGCGGGCCAGGATTACTGAAACATGAAACATCGTTCGGATTAAACTCGTACGCGTCGCGATTTCTTTTCAATGTGTCATTTCTAGTTCAGGGAGATTTATTTCAAATTGGACTGCTGTGCCCCGCGAATTTCTAGAATGCATAAGTACATGAGCCTTGATTTGGATGTCTTGTGTGTATGTTTCTGCTTAAAGCGTTCTAGAAACTCTTCATATTTTGGTCGATTATTTGCTTGCTCTTGTCCTTCGTCCGGATCCTCTATAGTCACCTCATCAGAGCCGCTACCGGATCGAGTTCGCTGTGGTACTCGTGTATTGTATCTAATTCGATCCCCACGCAGTCCAAGGTAACCTCGAGATGTCAAGAGTGAAAATATACGCTGCCGAGAATAAGATATGCACTTCGGCGTATAAGAGGCCGAATTATTCATGAAAGGGACAAAGTCTAGGTGTGCAGTCCTAGCGGAGTTTGAGGTTCGATCCTTCACAGGCTTCCAAATCCTATTCTCGAGATGCACCCAAAAGTACTCGGTAAAGCTGACGATGCCGATACGATACGCGACGCCGTCTCGCCACTCGAGAATCAGGGCATACAGTTCCCATTCCTCGCTCTTCTCTGGGTATCTCGAACACTCGCCTCCGTAGACGGCGACCTCGGCCTCGATTGTTTCTCCCTTGTGCGTGTCGCATTCTCCCGTTGCCTTGACGAGGCAGTCTGGTGCGAGAGATGCCGTGTCCGGGAGGGCGTACCGCAGGCGGCGATCATCCTCCGCCTTCGCCTTGATGTACTCAGGCACGACGACGTGTCCGCCCCAGCCGCCGTCGGACGTCTTGCAAAATTCGAGCTTGGCTGTGCTGCCCCAGAACACCAGGCGCCCACAGTCCTTGGCGAGGTCGAAGGCCGTCGCGCCAGCAGATGGTTCGACGGCCGACGGCCACTGCTTCCAGAGATGCGTGAGCCGCGGCTGGGCGCTGGCCGGTGCTGAGATGGGGTCATACTCTTGGTCCTCGATCTCTCGCACCCCTTTCGTCTCGTCCAGCTGATAGATCACAGCCTCACGGAAGATTCCTCGCCGGCGGCTCAAGTGCCACAACTCGCCCAGATGCAGGCCTCCCTTGCAGGAGGACTGCCAAGCCACCCAAGTCCAGCTCGGAAACGGCGTCTTGCTCTTGCCGTGCACGGCATGGGTGCGCGGCATCCCCGGGAGGCACCAGGTGAGGGCGTACGCGAAACGCTGCGCGGGCTGTGCCCAGACGAAGCGTTCTCCAGTTAGGGCCGTCAACACGGCCAGCACCCCGGCAAAGGCGTGCAGGCGGTCGGATTCGGCCGTTATGTTGCGATGCATGAACCGTATGGCGAGATCTCGGTATAGAGACGGGCGAGCTTGCAGCGCTGTCGGCTTGGGACCGTCTTCACGCCCGTCTTCGCTGCCACCGCCGTCACGGGGCAGGAGAAGTGCCGAGATATCGAGCTCCCATTTGCGGTACGTGCGACTGAACGTCCACTGGCTCGACCGCAGGCCGTCGCCGGGCAGGCCCGTCTGAAAGGCGTCATTGCCGCCCGATACCCGGCCAAACCGGTAGCCGGAAAAGCCGTCTGGATGACCGTCCTCTAGCTCCACCTCCTCGGCCCAGCGGGCACTGGGGCAGTGCCAGTAGACCTGGTTCTCGGCGAAGATGAGCTTGCGCATTGACAGGAAGTGCTCCTGCATTGTCCAGGCCCGAGCGTACCAGCTCGAGGAGGCCAGCGGACCAGGAGCAAAGTCATCGAAAGAGTCCAGCACAGGGATCAAAGAGACGCCCGGGGAGTGAACGGCGTGAATAGGACCGCTGGCCGCCCAGTGCGGCTCCACAGAGACGCGCGATAGGCCCGTGTCGGCGTGATTACTCGCCGCCGCGATGACGGTCAGCGTCGCTAGCGCGTATATAGACGCCATCTGGGCAATCTGCGACGCCTTGTGAGACTCGTCGTCCTGCTTGATGCACAAGGTGTCAACCCAGAGGTGATGAATGCCCAGATTCCGCGTCACTGAGATGGCGTCACTGATGGTCGATGGGAGCTCGACGCTTGTGAGGGCATCCTTCTCGGCGAGCTTTGTCACGTTGCCTGTGGTCAACATGACCTTGTTGGTCTCTCCCCAGACGTAGCTCGGCGCCACGAAGCGCGGAATGCTGTCTCCGGCTGCCTCGACAATGCAATTGTCCACCACGTCGATCAGGAGCAGGTCAGCCACGGGGTCCAGCCTGGGCGCGAGGCTGGCGCCCGAACAGCGCTCGCCGTGCTGCGTCTCGCACCGCGCAAGCCAAAACCGCAAGAGCTCGGCGTCGACACCCTTTGGATTCGGCAGCCTCCCCCCGTATCGTGGGATGGCGGCAGGCGGTCTTGCCAAGCTCTCGAGGACGGTCGCCAACAGAGCACGACATGCTTGAAACTCGACAACAGTCGCCCCGGTGGAGTGCTGCTCGTACATCCACTGGTTCTTCCTCTTGGCCTGAACGACGACTACCAGCCGCGTGGTAGTGCGGTCCCAGTAGTTCTCCAGCTCTGGGAGCCGTGGCGCAAAAGACCGGCGGTGTTTCTCAACTGCCTTCGGCGGAGGAGGACTGGCATGCTCGCGCAGCGTAGAGTCGGTGCAGAACTCGACAGCTTGCAAATGACATGCCATGCCTTCGACCGAGTTGTTCCCGATGCGCTCCCGAAGCCTCTTCGCCACGGTCCCGCAAAAGGCACAGGTGTCGGCGCGCGAGAGGATGTCCGAGACGCTGCCCAGTGTCGGCCTTTTCGAGTAGAAGTGATGCATGCTCTCGTTGATGCAGCCCGTGTAGCCGCCCCATTCGGGGAACATCTTGAAGACCCGGTTCTCATTCATCCACGCCAGGTCTGCAAGCGGCAAGCGCTGGCAGACGTGACAGAGACGCGAGAGTGGCTGGTAGGTTGGGGCCTCCGGGTTCAGACTCCTGGTCTGGCCGTTGTTTCTTCAGTCGGGCACGGATTCGGAACCGTGTGCGGTGATCATACCTTGACTGCCGGTTCCGAGCCAGCAGGCTTTGAGTAGCCCCGCTAGATTCGGGGCTCGTCGTTGCCGGCCATGGTCGAGAGCCGGCGGTGTTTTGGTGAGACTTGCGGTTGACGTTACTACAATGTCCTTTGACGAAACGAAACCGTCATCGCCCGCGCAGAAACGTCCACTTCACAGTCCCGACGTAGACGGGAATGTAAAATGACCAGTACCACGACTTCTAAGGCTCTCAGCTTCTTATAACACTTCGAGAGTGCTGGATGGGCGGAGGCTGTGTTTCTGATGGCTGGGCGCTAGGTCAACCAGCCACCGCCACGGCTGAAGCCCCTAACTGCCCTGGGTGTTCTCGTCCAGACACGGCCGCCAAACCGACCAAGATTCCGCCGTACACTATACTGTCCTACATATGGGAAGACGAAGAGGTGCTCTTCAGAATTCCGAGACCGCAGAGGGCAGGTGCGGCAGCCAAAGGCACGAACGAGCAGCAATGGAACACGCCAAACACTAGATCTCGCGCATTGTAGAGATTTTCGAGGTAAAAACACCATGCAGAACCGAGGGGAGGGGCTGCGCCATCCAGAGAGCAGGGTGTAGTAGTCTATTAGCCGGCTGTTCCTCCTTCTTGGCCCCGAAAGTGGCTTGGGGCTGAGAACAACATTGCCTCGTCCGTCCAAAGGATATAGCCACTGGCCCTCCACCCGAAATGTCCCGTTTCTTTCTAACCCGGCACAATTCGATCTTGCTCTCGCATTCCTGCTATTTATTTATCTACGTGTTATAAAGCCCCGCCCAGCAATGCCTCCTGGTATCGGCTTTGACCCATTCCAACTCTATTCACCGGCCAATGTCACTGTTGCAGACAATGAATTCGAGTCCGTGTACCGCTTCGATTATAAACCCCCCTTGCCAAGTTTGTGGGGAAATGACACTTAACTAGCATTGTGGCGAGAGATTTCCTGGCCCGCCTACAGATTCAGCGCGCTGGACTCCTAAGTTCAAGTTATCAGTATTGGTATAAGCTATGCAGAGTCCTAAGGCATCGAAATTCCGTCTGACAACTCTGGGCTACACTCCAGCCACAGTCTGGGCCACACTCTAGCCACAGTTCCCCCGATCGTCTTCATCTGCCACAGCCTTGGTGATATTGTTCTCAAGACGGCGCTCATGGTAGCGGGCGATCAACGTCGTTAGTTTGAGTTCCTCCTCAAAGCCCTAAAGGGAGTAGTGTCCATAGGCCGCCGCATTGGGGCTCGAAGGTGGCCGGTGTACTAAGTCGACTTGTCAAGATTCCTGAAATTTTGCCAGCTAGAAATCTAAGGACAAATATGGTGCTCCTTAGTCCTTACCGATCACTCCCCCGCACTGAGCACCCTCTGCCAACGATTCATTGAGCAGGCAGCTGATCTCAAGTTTATTCTCTCTTTCTGACTCGGGTACATCCAATCCTTAAGAACCTAGCATTACAATTAATAACAAATAGTGTTCGTGGCGCTCTAGCCACGATTGTGCCTAGGCGTTGTGTCGCGATGCAACCTTAGGGGGGGTGATGAATAGTACGTTGATTCATGTTCTGTGCTACTTATGGTTCCAGCTGTGGGGGCCTGATGAAGTAGGTGCGGGGCGACGCCCGCGCAGCACGTTCCTCCGTCACGTGCCTGCGCACCCGACCCTCTCCATCCTTTGTTGCACGGCCCAAAGTGTCCCTATTCCAACAAATAGCCTTTCTCTCCCTCCCACTACTTGTTGCATCCACCTAGCTAACCATTTCTAGATTGTCGATATCTACTCTGCAACGATGGGTACTGGTAACAAACGCGTGCAACCGCTCGCATGCGACACCAGCTTCTCTGCAAGTCTGAGTCTCTGACAAGAATTTCAGAACGTTACAAGAGTCCATCTAGACCGCTATCCTTGGGCCTATTTACCACAGGGGCATCCGGACCATCAATACCTGGCGCACTGGGCTCGCTTCGGCGGACAGCAGGTAAGGAAGTGCCTCGGGAAACCGTACCCCCATGCTCTCGGCTTCCAATACCACGAGCATGCACCTCCCTCAGCCCACACCGACGCCGGTAATTTGCACGATCTTGATGTCCAAATCGGTACTACGCCGCATTCAGTCTTTTATCAGAACCCTCGGCATTCCAGCTCTTCCATTATAACACATTTGGGATCCAAGCGTCTCGCCCAACCCAACGCCGACCAAGCTAGGAGCTCGTGGCAGAGCCAAGACGCGATCCAAGCGAAGCAGAGGCTAGGCCCATTTGATGATGTGTGTGAGTTAAACTTCCTGTCCAGGTATCTAATATAACTATCACTCCGAACATTATTATACGTGTTAACAACTATCAATTGACAACACGGGCGACTGACTAACACACTCTGGTTAATTATTGAACAGCGCAAGAAATTAGACGAGGAGATGAGCATTACTAAGATGGTAGGTTCTGGGTGGTCTACAACCACTATCACAGTGCTCACTCGCTCCTAAGGCTGCCCGGCGTTGCGGACAACCGCACTGGCCAGTTGATTGCCGTGTACGACCAGCTGGCGCGGTGCTGCTTGAGCATGTGCAATTCACCGGCAGACGCGTCCCCGCCCGCCCGGGAGAGGCAGATAGGGGATCTGAACAAGGCGAGGGACTTTGCCCGGCGAAGTGAGAAGCTGGTTGCCAATCAAGTGGATAGATGTATGGTACGGAGGACGCGCGTCGCTTTGAACATTGTGGAAACAGAGCTGAACAGTCCGTCCTAGCGGGCTCGGTCTGGGCTATGCATCAGTACCGAGATTTAGGCGCGAGTTGAAGTTGCTAGAGGATGAGCTATCGACTCTACAGGCTTCAGGACACCGCGGCGTTGAGGGTCTTCTTACCAGCATCAAGATGATCGAGAGGGCGAAGTTGACATTGCAATTATTACTGTCTCTGCATTATGATAATATTCTACTACAGTACCTCGCTAGAATCCAGGGGGTGGCTGCTCGCACACGATGGGCTTGTCTGCAGCCGGATGGGATGTACGTTAACCCTTTTACACTCATCATACCTTATATATACTAGCGGTTGAAGAACAGTACTAACCTTACCTTCCCTCTAACCCATCCACGGTAGTGAGAGCTTGCGACCGCCTGGGCACGAAGTAAAGAGACGGCGAATGCTTGGTTATAGCCCGGTCCTTGTGTGACGGCGGGTGGCCGAGGATTTGCATGTAAGGTGGCGACGCTGATACTATTTTCTCCTCCAGCCTCTGCAGGACCTTGCCGTGTTGCTGCCGAAGCCACCCAATTTGTTAATAAAAATGAATAAGTACGCGCGTGAAGCAATCCGGCTGTTTTCCCCCCGCCGCCTCAAATATAAACTAAGCAAAACTGCACTCTTCTTCTGTTGGCGCCGCGCCGCGTCTGCTGGTGTGTAGCAACACAAAAAGTCAAAGGGGCATGGCTCCTCCCGGGTCGCTTCGTCAAACCAAGAGACCCAGCGGGACCTATCAGGAAGCGGCTCGCCAGGTGGATATCATGAACATGAAGACAAATCACGGACGGAAAACCTCAAATTTGACGACCCTGCCTGTTTATATCCGGCTGCCTCTCAAGTTGGGCGGAATGCTAAACCTTGTTGTGTTATGTTAGGCAATTGCTGACTTGGAGGTCTCTTTTTGCTTTTAATTTTGTCTTCCCTCGGCTATTTCGACAAATCGCTGATATAAATCAGCGGTGATTACGGACATCTTAAACAAGAATGCAGCGCGTCTAGTGGTTACGTATACGGAGCAACCGTGCACATCCAATCACGCACGCCCATTAAGCGGACGCAAAAGACAGGGTATCCAAACCCCCAAAAAGATTACCAATGCAATCCTCGCTTGCTATATACCGTGACATGGTTCCCTTTTAACTTCTTATATGCTCATCAACCCTTCCTCTGTCTCTTTGCCACGTCGGCCCAGCTTTTGGCTGTAGGCAACGACGGAACTCTGACGCTGCCATCAAGTTCGGCATGGGCAGCGCGGGGGGACGACAGCGCCGACCCGCCAAACATGGGGCTTGAAGTCCCCGGCACAGCTGCCGAGCTGACCACGCTTGCCGTATCCCGGACGCTCTGGCCTTCGGTTGTGACGCTCTCCCTCCGCTCCATGATCCCCAGGCCTATGTCCGGCACCGCATCTCTCTCAGACCTGACCGAAGTGGGGTTGCCATTGGAGTCTATGCCTCTTGTTGCAAAGTCGTTGACAGCCGGGCTACCCAATGCCGGGGTTCCTGCGACACTTGTCTTCGCTGTCGAATCGGCGTATTTCAGGGGCATACTGCTGCGGCGGCTGAAGGTGGAGCTGGCCATGCTATACTGCGTGCTGTCCGTTGATGATGGATCGCGGTTGAGAGTCGGCGTGTTGGATCGAATGGGTGTGGCAGGGTTGACTGCACGAGGCAGGCGAGAGCCAGAGTTCCGAGATCGTAGTGGAAACCCTACTGGATCAGGACTGGGAGTACCATCAGACGCAGGTATTGGACCTGATGTGGTAACCGACGAGCTGACAATAGCGTCTGAAGGTTGGGCGGAAACAGAAGGCAAGTCGCGGGGAATTCCAGCAGTGGCCACCGTCTGGGAGTAGGTGAGACGGGGATTAAACGTGACGGTCGGCGTTCGGATTCTCTGCAGCGGCTGCGGCAGCGGTGAGGGCGACGGCGAAGGTAGTGGTGGGGTGGTTTTGGGTATCAAGTGTGTTGGTGGCTTCGCCCGCATCGTCAGACCAGGGGAAGGGCTGCTCCCAGGAACGGAGCGATCTGACCCTGGCCGCGGGATGCTGGGACGAGGTGGCCTTCTCCCCTGTATCTCCGCAACATGACCCTCCAGCTTCCTGCGTTCAGCGCGCTCTTTATCAAGCTGCTCTTGCAAGGCAGCTATCTTGTCGGCGTGAGCTCGGCGTTCGTTTTGAATGCGAGATTCGTATGTCTCGTCTTTACGTTCAAGAACCTCTAGACGCTTGGCTAGGTCTCCATACTCGACTCGTAGACGATTCCGCTCCTCCACAGCCTGTTTATACCTAGTGCTCATGCGATCCGTTACAAAGCGACTCCTCTTTTTGCAGCAGGGCGAGTGGTAGATCTGATCTATACCGCCCAACTCCACAAGCTCGGTGTCGACTTGGTCAACCACTGGGCGGGCCGAGGGATCCAGCGAGAGCATATTTGACGTCAGGCCGATAATGTGCTTGGGTGCAAACGTTGGGGCGTTGACGTCCTCCACTTCCTGTGTTGCAAGCGCCATCGGCTCAAGTCTAATGTGGTATTGCCTCAGTTTCTCGGCCCGGCCTCGGGGCGACAGATCTCCAACCACGGTATCAAAGTCGGCCATGGTTGCGCCGTATAGAATTGTTGCAATGTTCAGCAGCACGAGGCCGAGCGAATAGACGTCTGCAGCCCTCATGGACCATTCAGTCTCGATCTGGTATATCTCTGGAGCCCTCCATTTTAATGTTCCTTGTTGTCCCAGCGTCATGGTGTGGTCTCGGTCGTTGACATCTTTTGCGATGCCAAAGTCGGCCAGGTATACACGCCCCGCGTTGAGCAGGATGTTGCTGGGTTTGAGGTCCAGGTGGCGGATGTTTTGCCCATGACAGAATGCGACTGCTCGAGTGATACAACCGGTAATTTGCTGTAGGTACTTGAGGGGACAGTTGCCCTCGCCTGCGCCGGCGTGGGGGAGCGGGCGCCGGTGCTCAACGGCCGACAAATTATCCAATTTAAGTGCTTGCAGTCGGCTAATAATGTCATCACGGTCACCTTGGCCTTCTCTGAGGCAGTCCAGGTCGTTGAAAAGACTGTCGAGGTTGCAAACGGCCACAGGCCACAACAAGATGAAGAGTTCGTGGGGCCGGACGCAATAGGTGCCAACCAGCTTAACGATGTGCTCGTGATCGAGCTTCTCCATGACATTGGCCTCCTCGCGCAGCTTTTGTATTGTCACGCGGCGGTTACGTTGTATGTGTTTCCTGGCCAGGCACACAGTGCGATTATTGTGGAAGAAGTGAACCTTCTCAACGACGCCATAGCTGCCGGAGCCAAGTATCTTGTCGGGGGCTGGCTTGAACCGGAACTGGAGCTTCTTTGCCTCTGTGAAGTCGTTGGCGGGGGTATGCTTGCCTCTGGATGTACCAACCGCCGTCAGCAAACGCAATCCAACGCGCCGGGCCCATTGTCGCAATCGGATGGAAGACACTCACATGCCAGACCAGTGCCCCCTCGTTGCATCCAACTCCCTCAAGACCTGCTTCTCGTATGCCTCCAGCTGCGCCCGAGGTAGACGCTCGACTGCCGAATGGGAAGTTGGCATGACAGTATGCCAGCCATCACCAGAGTCGCCCATGGCGGCCGGATGTGGAGCGCAATGGGGAGGGAGCGCAATGGGGAGGGAGCGCAATGGGGAGGGAGCGCAATGGGGAGGGAGCGCAATGGGGAGGGAGCGCAATGGGGAGGGAGCGCAATGGGGAGGGAGCGCAATGGGGAGGGAGCGCAATGGGGAGGGAGCGCAATGGGGAGGGAGCTTATTGCCGCAAGCCGATTGGGGTTTCCGTTGTCGAAGACGGAGGGCGTCGGGGATAGATCGACGATTGACGGATGGAAGATTTCGGTCGCGGTCTAATCATGGAGCGCACACGCAACGATCAACTGAGGGCGGAATATTGCAAGCCCCATCGATTCCATTGATGCCGCTGAAGGAAAAGTGACGAACAATTAATTGGTAGGTCTAAGAAAGAAGGATTTAGGTTTTTTTCCGTCTCGCCTTTGCATCGTCGCGGTGGGACAAGCACAGCCCCACTGGTTGATGAATTCCCCAGTCGTGCGCGCCGCCAAGACTGCGGTGCGGCTGAGCAGTTGGCCTGAGCTTCTTGACAGCGGGGGAGGCGGGAGGCAGGGTCCCGAAAACGGGCGGGGGCTTGCTCGGCTCATGTTCGGGATCAAAGTGCATAGGCTGCTGAACAAACGGATTTGTAAGGCAATCCGTAGGGCTGGAGCAACGTTTTTGGGCTATAGAGGAAATTGTACGGGGTAAACGTATTACCAAGTACGTACAAATATCCTATCACGTACCGCATGCAATGCACCCGTGTATGTACAGCACATGGATAACGGGCAGGTGGCGCACACTTGGGGGTTGGGTGACTCTCCGGAAAGGACAGCTCTGCAGGAAAGATCGCGGGGGGCTTTTTGAATTGCCCGGGGTGAAAACTTTAAAATGTGTGCGCAATTGATGTCTATTCTCGGTAGCCACGCCGAGGACGGGATTCGTGTAATGTTCTACATGGAGGATGGGAGGCTACCGATTTGCATGGTCTATGGTGCCCTAGGAAATAATTAATATGCCGGGTGCTCAGAGATTTTGTGTAAGCTATTAGAAACTAATTTTTGCGTCGTGGCAGAATGGAACATCTCCGTGCGGAATAGTTGAACGTGGTAACTATTACACCATTCAAGCAACAATCCATTTGACCATGGAGGCAAACCAACTCGGTATGGAAACAGGATCTTTATGGCTTGCAAAGGTATTTCTCGTATTGCCGCCGACGACGGGTCTAGGTTACCTTTAATACCTAGAACTAGCTCGAGAAATGTCATCTTTCGGCTATTGGCGCTGATGAAGGCCCCTAAGGACGGCATGGGAGCAGGGGCAAGTGTGAGGTGGCTGTCCGCGGAAGCATCCAATGGACTGTACCACATGGTACATACAGATACTGTATGTGCCTACGGATACGGAATAATTCGCATTTGGAATGCTTCAGTTGACGAGTGGGCACCGCCCATAGCAGTGTGCTGACTGTTTCTTTGACCGGAGTTTTACTGACTCCCGGCTGCTGTATTGTATCTGTATTGTAGGGTCTGTATTGTGGGGTGACCGAATACCCACCCACCTCGGCCTTAACAAATAATCTTCTTAATGGCACCCACATTGACTAGAAACATGGAAAGAAGCAAGCTGTAAAATTTTTCGCGTATTGCCGCCGGTGAGATTATTTGAGTTTCAGTAATTGGACCTGTCCCGATCTACCACCTGAGAGACGATGCATCGGCGTCGGCATCGGGACCAGCGTCGGTATCAGGCCGAGGAAAGGAGCACCCACTGTCGAGAAAGAGTCGAGATCAGTAATCGGAAAATCGGCCGACTCCACAGTGGCTGCAGCAGTGCATGGCCCTAGGCCCAGGACCACCTTGCAGGCTCTGTCAAGGGGCGGGAACCTGCACCAGGGAAGAACTAGGTGAGCCTAATAAGCTTCCAGCAAGCAGCAACGCCAACGGATACCTAACGTAGTAGCCGTTGAGCTTTTTGCCAGGCTGCAATTGATGGGGGATTTGGATGGTGGAAGTGAAGTGGATGCCCGCTGATGTTGACAATTGCTGCCCGTAGCACTGCCCTCCCATCCACTTGCACTGCGGCACACCCACACCTAGCCAGCCTGTCGCGGGACGACGGCGACTAAAACGAAAGCTAGCATGCACTAAGTCCCTAGAGTAGATAAGTTCTAAAGTTCCGCATCGGCGGGCCCTTCTAAGGCTTCAACAGCATTGCAGATGATGCTTGTCTGCTTGAGACGGGATCTAAACATGGGATTGATGGCTGCTGAATAATTCCCTCGCAGATTCGCTTGTCAATCGGTCCCCGAGAGCTAGCCAGACCAGTGAGAGGGTATTTGGAAGAGGCCGTCATGGACAAAGGCCCTAGCATCGCTGCCTACCCCAACCAGCATCTAGCACCCAACACACACTTACTACCTAATTAGCACGCACCCAGGGCAGCAGACCACAGGCGACAGGCAGGCAGGCGCTGGAACGGTGGCAGTTCTCCCAGCTCGTCAGCCTGTGCCAGTTTCGGCCACTCGGCGTCTACTCCCATAACAACTTAGCTTGACAACATCTGGGCCATTTTGCGCGACATCCCGTCAGACCGCAGATTGTCCGCCCCGGCGCCCGCACCTGTCCCGCCCGATGCACGGTCGTCTGGCCTTGTTGGCTGACTAGCTTCCCTTCTATGGTCCGTCCCTATGACATGATAATACAAGGAACCCCATTGCCTCATTATATAGTGCCCGACACCTAGCTCTCCTGGGCTCCGTCCAAGCGTCGACCAGAAAAAAGGACTTGGCAAAAAAAAACACAACACGACTCGATAAGACACGACACTCCTGCTCCCATCCCAGCTGGGGCCGCCCACGAAGCCAACATCACTCCAGCTCTGCACTGCATATTAATACCTCGGGCCCAGTATTAGTACCCTAGGTATCTTTGCTAGCCCAAGTCGGCAGACTGGCTACAGCCGTGCCCCCGCGCCACCATCGCATCTACCGCTGTACTACCTGGCACTTCTTTAGGTTGTTACTATAGCTGCTAAGAACTGTGCTACTACATGCACTCCTGTCCATTGCAGGCCCCGTCTCGCCGTGATCCGCTCCTAGGGGGCCCAGCGCCGCATCCAAGACCAAGACCCCTTTCTCATAGCGCCGGCCAGGCCTCTAGCGCAATTAAGGGATGACAGACGGGCTGGCTCGAGAAACCGGCGCAATGCGCTTCCCCCAGGGCGACCTCGCCATCCTCGGCGCCGAAACCTACGAAGGCGCCCTCCCATTTCGAACGCCGGCTCAGTCGGCTCAGTCGGCTCGCGCCAAGAAACCGCAGCCTGCTTCTCGTAACTCGGACGACGGCGCAAAAAAGCGCACAAAAGCCCCGTCGTCTGAAGGCGAAGATGATGAGAAGAAAAGGGCCAGGGGGCGTCCGCGTTTAGACGTGAAAGATGAGACGGCTGCTGATGTGAGTTGCCTCGTGCAGAACATTACCTGACATCTCATTTTTACATGAGAGAGATGGGTTGTTTCTGCCTTGCCGTGAACCCTCAATTTGAACCCCCTCAAGGCCCTCATGGTTACTCACCAGTTTCTATGGTGCTTGTAACTCTGAGGATTTGGCTAACACGTCCTAGCGCCGGCGGACGCAAATACGCCTTGCACAACGTGCCTATCGGAATCGGAAAGAAAACGCCATTCAGTCGCTGGAGAAAAAAGTCCAGGACCTCAAGGACGCGAATGAAGAGATGAGCAATGCTTTTATGAAGCTTCACGACTTCGCCGTGAACAACGGCTTACTCGACCGGGAACCCGAGCTTGGCCGCCATCTTCGTGCAACCACCCAGACATTTCTCAACCTTGCCCGCAGCGCAAGCGACGAGGGCGAAAGAGACGATGATCCAAATAGCCGCGGCTCCGCCGGTAACAACTCCGTGGGGAGCCGTACTAAATCCAGCTCACCCGAGCAGATAGAGCGGGCCGTCGTCACACAAGCAGAGAGCGGAACCCCGAAGGTGCCGATGTTTGGGGGTTACACCATCTCTAGGGATGTTTTTAACCCCTCTGAGCTGCTAGCCGATATTTCGAACTCCATCTTCAGCCACAACCCAAACGTCTCCAGTTCGATGGACTACGAGATCGTCACACAACCGACGCTAGCAAACGCCAGCTTCCCCATCGGAACTGTCCCAGACTATGGCATCAGTTTCGGCACCTTCTCCAACGCCCCCGCGTTCCCTATGATCCCGTCACCGGGGACATATTCTTCACAGGAAGACACTTTTGGTCGGAGGCTACATAGGTTCGCAACCGAGCGCGCTCTAAGGTTACTGTCGATGCCTAACCCACCTCAAGCCCGCATTCATCGCGTCTTTGGCTTCTGCCTGCTGGTGGAAACACGGGAACAGATTCGCAAGCGCCTGAGCCGGGTCCTCGCGCGCACGGCGCAGGAAAACCTTTCAAACTGGCAGTATCCCTTTCATAACCTCGGCGGCGCTGGCACCCATTTCGACCAGCCGAACGGCGGCATGACCCCCTCTTCTGCAGCAGCAGCATCATCGGCACACCACCGAGAGCAGGACCACCAACAAGAGCAGCAGCAGCAGAGATTGCGCATCGGCAGCCAAGGTACTATCGACAGCCACCGGCCCCGGAACAACAACGGCTTCTCGATAGGGCCATTCACACCTGAGGTCACCGAAGTGCGCGACAACGTGCTCGACGACGACATGCACATGGCGGCGCCGGGGTTCCGTGGCGAGTGGCTCGACTGTGACGAGGTCGAGCTGTACCTGAACCAGCGCGGAGTCACGATCCCGCCCGGCGCAGACTACATCACGGCCGACGTCGACCCGAGCCTGTTCGACGACAACAAGAGCAACATGAGCAATGTTCCCGAAGCAACCCCTTCATCGGCAAACATGGCCCACCACACCAACTCCACCGCGGCCTCATCCTCCCTATCCTCTCCCTCCCCTCTCGGGCCGTTATCAGGGCCGCGCCCTTCTCCACCGCCGCAGCACCAGCAACAACCGACAGGGGGCGATTCCTCATCAGCGCAGGGGCCATGGGACAGCCTAAGCACCACCCGGCTAATCGACCCGCTCTTTGCGAATGTGCTTTCGCAGGCCGGCGCGAGCGGACCGTTTAACGGTGTCGGCGGCAACAGCGGCGGCGACAGTAGCAACAGCAGCACGGCGGGCGGCGGCAGCGGCGGCAGAAGCAGGCCACCTGAGACAATTGGCCTAGATATCAACCTGCTAATCCATGGTAAGTCTGACTCTGGAACTTTCTGTTTCTTACTATTTGCTGACCTGCCATTTCTCCGCAGCTCTGACCGACCGCGCGGCCTGCCTCGGCCGCACCCCCGGAGTCCGCCGCATCGACATCAACTCGGCTTTCTGGAACGCCGCTACCCGACTCAGCCACGGCTTATAATATCTTTTCCACCTCCACCTCCATGCCCAATTTCTTTTATTTTTATCATAAACAGAAAATCTTCCCTTGTCATGAGACAACGATCACATATGGTAAACATTTCCCACTCGTCACGTTTCGTTAGTCAGTTATCCGCGCGGCTTTAACGAGCGCTGCTCTGCGATGGGATGACGGTGTTTTTCCTCGAGTATTCTCTGGGCTACCTTACATATGCATGTATATCTTACCTGCCCGCTAACGGGACGGGGCGTGGAAAGTGGTGTCTTTATTTGCTTATTTGCTCTCTAATGCGCTTTGTCAGTGGTCTCGTAATGTCCCTGTGTTTGGGTTTTGGTATTGTTTTTTTTGGGGGGGGACTCTAAATCATGATCAGGATCTTGGGTAGCGGCGCGGCAAGGCGTGGTTGCTTTTTTGTCTCTTGGCGCTAATAAGGGCGGTGGCGGTCAGTTGGAAAATAGACGTCTGGAGCTTGTACACGTGCTTTTTGTTACGCATTCGCCCTTATATCCCTTATATATACAAGAATTTATGTTTAATACAGTAATCTACACGGTTATGGCATCCTTGCGTCGGCCCGGTTGCGGCGGTCCTGCTTTTTGGTGCCTGCTGCACATGCGGCGTTTGTTTTGGGCTTAATTGGTTCCTGAGACGCAGCCAATATCTTGTGGATGGCTCGCATCTCTTCGTCATGCGCGGGATCAACTTCTTTGGGCGACTTTGTCCGCTTCCGAGTCAGCGTCCTCACCGGCCGCCCGTAGATGCTTAACTTGCGCGTGTCCGCCGGAGCTTCGTCAGCTTCAGTGGCCTCTTTCTTTGCCCGCCGCGCAGCCTCCTTCCGCTCCTTGGCCTCGGCCTCGGCAAGCGCCTTCTCCTCGCAAATTATCTTCCACAGAGCCCTGCCACGCGCCATTTTGTCCTTCTGTATCTCATTCATCCTGTCGTGTATGGCATTCACCTCGTTGTGCAGCACACGCGCGTACGTCGCCGAGTTGTCGACGAACTCGCTGCTCGCCCTGCCATGGTCGCGCAGCATCTGCCTGACAGAGTACTCCCAGCGGTCCTCGTCCTGCACGTCGGGGATGATGGTCTGCAGGAGCTCTGAGCGGCGCACCATGGCGCCGCGCACGCTGAACGACTTCTGCGTCAGCACGCGCGACAGCACGCTGGGCTGCGGCTTCGTGAGGCGCAGGAACGGGAACCCCACCGACTCGTCCATGGTCGGCACGCGGCGGATCCCGCCCTTGATCTCGGACAGCGGCCGCGGCCGTACGGTGCTGACGTAGACGGGATCCGAGCGGCCGTCCGAGCCGCGCACGCGCGTCAGGAGCGGGATCGTGCCGGGGATGGGCGCGCTGGTCTTGGTCCGGCGCGTCCGGTTGAGCAGCGGCAGCACCCGCGCTTGGTTCGCGCGGAGAAAGGCCAGCACCTGGGCGTGCTCGGGGCCGGCGGAGGGGTTCTGGGCGCGCGTGAGGAGGTCGAGGTAGCGGTAGCCGTTTCTCAGCGCCGAGATGACCAGCCGCGGGCTAGTCTCTTTTTGGTTGCGCCGGAAGCCACTGCGGACGAGCCATTTGATGGGGTTGACGGGACTAATGCCGGTTGCGACGTCGTCGGGCAGAGGCACGCGAGGAACCTGGCGGAGGAGGGCTCTATAGAGGGCGAAGCCTTGCAATCAATCGAGCTTGGTTAGCGACGGTTTGGGGCATTGTACCTGCTTGCTAGATTGAAATAGCCCTACATGCTAGACGGTGCCGCGAGTCGCGGGCGGGAACTAGGAACAACGGCATTCATCTGCTGCTGGGTCGGGAATGTCAACTCCCGAAAGTTGGTGCCTGGTTACGGTACGGTAGGGGTTTTCTTGCTCACTAAAACCTTGGCGTGCGCCCTAAAGTCCTGCGCAATGGACACTCGGAGTGCGCGCGCTGGGATCCACGAGATCACGTGCACACTTTAAACACGCTGATTGACAGGCCGAGGGAGCACTTCAATTACCACGACTTTCGTTCAGGTACATGTTAATGTGCTAGAAGAACATTCGTGAATCATCCTCAAGTTATGTGGCTTGAACTCTGCAATGAAGCATTTCCTTCCGTTAATTCATTCCTCAAGCATAGCCTAGACGGCTACAACTCTCGACCACGGCCATCTAAGGAATTCCCAAAACCGGGAGCATTAGCCGCATTATCCTCGTCCTACACCGGGTTATTCCACCGAAAGTCGCGATAAGGTAGTACCGCGGCTTCTTGATCGCATGACGCGCCCCGTAATCAGTCATACATGGGGTACTTAGAACCCTCGGGAGGTTGGGGCAGCTTCTTGTTCTCCTCCATGTATCTGTTGCAGCCTATTAGTGCCATCCTCCAAGTAAACATGTTGTAGCTGCCTTGCTCACCTTCTTATCGAAATCAACGCCGTCTCCAGGCTCAGCAGGTCCTCCTTCGACCGGGGATTCGTAGAAAGCTCGGCAGAAATCTTGGTCCAATCGCGCAGGATCGCGACAGCATTCGGGTCGACCTCGCCATCTACTGTGCTCACGCCAGGAAGATTAATCTGGCTGACGAAATGGATCGTAGGTGGCTCCTGGGGGTAGTTATCGCCACACTCCATCTTGAGCTCGTAGATGCGGTTCTCATGGTTGCCCTGCCCAAATAATTACCGATTAGCTTGCGTCGGCGCAACGGGAGGGGAGGGGATCGGGGGCACAGTACATGAGGGGGGCCCCAAATCGTTCCTCGCCAGTGGGTCATGAAGATATCCTCGGGATCCTCGAGACCGTATGAGCAGGCACCTGTTTGGCGAATTGACGGGTCAGTATGGGTACGGGTTTCGCGGCGAGCGACTCTCTTGGGGCCGAGAAAAGGGAGGACCAACCTGCACCCATGCCTTTCTCGCCCTTCTCCAGCTCGGCGAGCAGCTTGAAGTTCCGGGGAACCTGAGCGACCGCCATATTGACTGCGCCGTATGTGTAGGTCGCTTATGCGGGAAAAAAAAAGCGAAAGGTGAGAAAATAGATGGAGCGATGTAGGGGTCAGCCACTCGATTTGTTGGGCTCAGAGGTGCTGCCGATACCGACACTGGACCAGAGAGCTGGGCTGGCTGGATGGATGTGTCAGGCGGGGCAGGCATAGTGGAGGGCCTAGCAAACACGGGGAGGCTGCAACAAGCGTGGATGGTGGGGGGTGGGGTGGAAGAGAGGCGGTGAGCGATTCTGCCCGCCTTAGTCATCTGGATGGGGGCGCCTTGGACACGGAACCCGGAGGTGGATGCCTGTCAGCTGGCAGCGCTGGAGTTGGACGCTGTTGGCTTCTGTTCCGATGCAGCCCACCGCTTCCCGCGATTCTTTTGACGACGCGCTTCTGCACCACCTAGCCCCTGTATCAGCAATCCAGACTAACGGACCAGAGCTGCAATGTGTATATCGCAGACCTGACCTCTCGAAATGCGAACATGACAGCCCAATTGCTGGCGTCGGAGCTTGCCAACCTCATACAAGAGAGCAAACGAAAGCACAACGATTTGCGCCAGGTACGTACGCAACATTCAATACCTACCTTACCGTAACTTCCATGGGTGACGTGGATGGGGTCGAGCGTGGCGTGCAGACAATTTTGGAACTGCCAGAACTAAACTCACGGCCAATATCCGACATCACTCTCACTTCCACACCTTTCACACTGTCCCAGGGCTTAAGATTGTCGAGATGCCCTCTTCGGCTTGACAATTCCAGATGGGAGCTGACACCGCGCTATAGGCTGCCGAGAAGTCTCTCGAGGAGCTCAAGAGCCTGAGGGCGCCATCCGAAGCCCAGATTTCTGCTGGTGTGTCCTCTCCTTGAGCCGGCCCCACAGCTCCGCTGCTCCTCCTCCGTGCTGCCTGAGGTGCTACTGCTGCTGCTGTTGATGCTGCTCCCTACGTGCCTCGGGCATGGCCGTTGTCTCTCAGTGGACAGCCAGTCTCTAGACATCTGTAGGCTTACACAGTGCCAGAACTTGCCAAACACGTTCACTTCGTGAACCCCTTTATCATCGCCTGTGGCACCAAAAACGCCAAATTTACCGGTATTGCCATTGTCTGCCTTCAGCGGCTTATCGTGTCTCGGGCCCTTCCTCGGTCAAGACTCAGCCAGGTTCTCGAAGCGCTGCAGCAAGCCACCTCAGCCGGGCTCGATGTTCAGCTCAAGATTCTCCAGGCACTGCCGTCGTTGCTCTCGAATTACGCGACCGACGTAAAGGGCGAGCTCTTGGTTACTGCCCTCAACATCTGCTTCATCTTACAGTCGAGCAAGAATGCCATCGTCAACAACACCTCGGCTGCCACCCTGCAGCAGCTCGTCGTGTCCGTCTTTGACAAGGTTGTTGCAGAGGACAGTAAGTAATTCATTATTTCAGCTGACTGCTCCGATTTCGTCCTGACACATCAATAGAATCTGGCATCGACTTTCCTCCCATCGGAGAAGCTCCTGTTCAGGATGGAACGACGGTCCCCCTGAGGGCCTCGGCCATGGATGCCTATAGGGTACATTTACGCTTCTTGATCGTTGCCTTTTCCGCTCCGTACATGCTGACTTGTTAGGTGTTCAACGACATATGTCTCCTGACAGAGAATCAGCGGCCCGAATACCTCAGGGTGTCTGGCTTGCCTCAGACGTTTGGTCTCGAGCTGATAGAGTCCGTTTTGACCAATCACGCTGCCATATTCTCTGCCCACCCTGAGCAGGCCGACATTCTGCGTACTAGAGTGATGCCTTTTATAATTGGTGCTCTTCGTGGCCGGCCAAACTTTGCAACCAGCGTACGCCTCGTGCGTATTCTATACACACTGCTTCGACGTCACCTGTCTATCCTGCCCTTGGAGAGCGGTGCAGCACTTGACATCCTCACCCAGCTTTTGGACCAAGACACCGCCTTGTGGAAGCGGTCACTTTGCATGGAAGTGTTTAGGGGGATTTTTGCAGAACATGCTCTTCTGCGGCGCATATTCATGCTTTTTGACGCCCAAGAAGGCCAAAAGAAGGTTCTTCAAAATCTCACGGCAACATTCGTTCGTGTCAGCACCGAGAAGCCTGCCGTGATTGGGCTAGGCCACCAATCAACCATACCCGTGGCAAATCCATACGGGGGCATTGGATCGTCAGCGGACCAGGCAATGCTGGAAGCCAGCGGCGTCACCGGGATCATCTCGGGCTCGGTCGGCTCCGATGGGCACAACACCGGAATCAGTACACAGTGGAGCACCATGCGTGTTCCTTGCATTGACCAGTTGGACAAAACAGATCCTCCAAACATCCCCGAGTCCTATGTTTACAGTCTCACCCTGGCCTGCATCACATCTCTCTCTGAAGGTCTGGCCAAGTTCATCCTTCCTTTGACGGTTCCTAATGAAGGACGACGAAAACGCAGTGCGAAGCAAGAAGCCGGCCGCGACTCGCCTGCTCCTTCAAACGATGAACGAACTGATCCTCCCACCGACAAACCTCCACTAGAACGGGAGAGATCTGCCTCATTTAAGCGGAATCCTGTTTTGGTCAATCCATTAATGCTCGAAAGCCACCCGCTACATGCAGAGATCAAAGTTTGCGCAGCCTTCATCGAAGAATGCTGGCCTGCCATTCTCGCGACATGTTCAACATTTCTTTACGCTGCCATGGACTCAGAGTATTATCATGGCCTTGTGCGAGCATTTCAAAAGTTTGCTCATGTTGCTGGTTTGCTGCAACTAGCTACGCCGCGCGATGCTTTCCTTACTACTCTGGGGAAGGCGGCCGTGCCCCCGAATGTTTTCACTGCATGCCTGAATGCTGGTATGCCAAGGACTCCAACCGCACAATCTGAGGTGACCAACAGCATATTCAGCAATGCTCGAGGCCTCCTTAGCGTGGACAGTTTGGTCAGCCAACCATCTCAGTCGGCCGAGAAGCAGAGACAGCATTCCGTAGATGTTAGCCTCGCGGCTCTCAACACCCGGAACCTATTGTGCCTGAGAGCACTCCTGAATTTGGGCATTGCCCTCGGCCCGACCCTTTCGTCGTCGTGGAGCATCGTTTTAGAAACTCTTCAGCAAGCCGACTTTGTCTTGTTCTCTTCCGGCAAAGCCGCTGGCCGAACGCCCATTGCTGGAAAGGGGCCAGATCAGCAAGCTGAGCAGGAAGCCAGTATTCTTCTATCAAACTTCAACACTGAGATCAAGGCCGTTGAGACGGCTGCTTCCAGATTGTTCGAGAGCACTGTTGACTTTCCGAATACAGCTTTTGCTGAAGTCGTGAACGCAGTCTGCAATTTGCTAAAGAAGCGGACCGAACCCGTATCGGAGCCCAACAGCAGACCCCAGTCACCACCCTCTGCAGGCCTGCTTAGAACACCGACAGTTCCTCATAAAAGAGTGCTGAGCACGTCGGCGGCACTCACCGGGCCAAATCAAGAAGATCAATTTGCGTTAGCAAAGCTTGGTGACCTTGCTTCTATTAACATGGAGCGGTTGCTCTCTTATCCACCATCCACTTCCGGATGGGCTCCTTTAACGTCTGAACTGATCAATACGCTGAGTTCTGCCCTGAGTACTGCGCCCGTGAGGATACGCGCAGTCGAGACACTTGTTCGCATCCTGCTGGAAGCGGCGAGCACGGTCGCGTCTCAGCCGTCTAATTCTCGAGCCCAAATCCAAACTCGTCTACTCGAGGCTTTCCGTGACTCACTTGTGCCACTGCAAATGCCCGATCGCGAGGTGTCTGTCAACGCCCACGCGACCGATGTAGATATTCACAAGGTCGTCCTCGAGGGCCTCAGGAGCCTCCTAGAGAATTGCGGCGAGACCCTTGTCTGTGGTTGGGAGATGACGTTCGAGATAATCGACACCATCTTTATCAACAGAACCTTCAGCCAGGAGACAAGCAAAGATGGCCCTGCTCAGCGAGCCTTGCTCATGACGCGATCCGTTCGGCTGATACGGCCGTCTTTTGCCTCTCTGCAGCTTATTTGTTCCGACTTCCTCCCTTCTTTGCCAAATTCCTGCTTCCTCAACCTCGTCGATACTCTGTACAAATTTTGCACACAAGACGACGACCTCAACATCGCATTAACTGTAAGTGGGGACATATTTACTGGAGTATGGCAACGCTGACTTTAGTAGACTGTTACATTCTTCTGGGCAATTTCGGACTTCCTCTCAGGAAAGAGGAAGTCCATGTCAATTACGGAAGAAATGATGCGGGACTCTGGGGACGAAGCACTGATGAAACTGGCGGCAGAGCCTTCTCATCAGGGCTCTGGTGCGGCTTTGTGGATGCTTCTATTGCTCAGGCTAACATCGGTTTCGACTGACCAGAGATTGGAATTGAGAAACAGTGAGCAGTGTCACATGAGATTCTGTATGAGGCTTTGCTAACCACCCATAGGTGCCATCCAAACCCTCATGCGGATCATCTCGGCTTATGGCGACAGCCTTAGCCCCGAAGCTTGGTCCATCTGCATGAGGTCGGTCGTCTTTAAGCTGTTGTCATCCATAGAAGATGAGTTGAAGGCCGTCAAAGAGTCCACAAAAAAGGACAAAGAACCGAGCGACTGGAACGAAACAGCCATTGTGGTTATCTACGGAGTTTCTGGGCTTTTTGCTTCGTATCTCCATGTGCTGACGACTCATCGCGGTTTCGGCGACATATGGAGAGACCTCCTCGGCCATTTTAGAACGCTGCTGGACGTCCAGGTACTCGACATCAACGCCGCCACGTATACCGCTGTTCGAGATATACTTCGTAGATGCGCAGAGAGTGACAAGCCAAACGTTGGCAAGGCTAGCATCGATCTCGCTTGGGATCTGTGGTCTCGGGGAGTTCCGGTTCCGAAAGACGGAAAAGACGACAAGTCTACCGACAACCAGAAATGTCTTTTGGTCTGGGTCGAAACACTATTGGAGCTTTATGGGCTGATCCAAAAAGATTTCAGTGTTGAGCGGGTGCGCCGCATGCTGACCCTCCTGCGTGACGCGATGCAGCATGCAACGCCTGGCGCATATGCTAGCGACATTGAGTACGTCACACCACTACAAGGACGAATTCTCGAAGTATTTCGCATGGTCCGAACGGATTTGCAAGGGGTACCTTCTGCAATGGTTACTCAGGTCGCCGAGTTTGTTTCCTTGGCCTTTGCCCAGGAAACATCAGCAAAGGCAGCATCCGAGAAGCGCACATACGTGGCCATGTCGAAGGAAAGCATGTCAATCCTCCAATCATTGATCATCTTGAATGCCGCCGAAGCGGACATTTATGAGACGGGCGCCTTTGCTACAGCTCTGGCAGCTCTTGCGAAACCCGTTATCCTCAAATACCAGTTCAAGGTAGTCACCAAGTCGGCCCAACCGTGGAGGGAAGCAACAAAGTCAGCCTTGGCCGTCTTGGAGGCAACCCTTCCGCACATTCGCGTACTGGACTTGCCCCGAACCACGGTCCAGACAATCTGGCAGATCGTCGCATCTCTCAGCAATGGCATCATAAGCGCGGATTGCAATGCCGCGCCTATCGGGGTAAACATCATGGACGATCAAGACTACGATGTTACTTCTTTCCGCAAGCTGCGACAACTGATCATTCCATCGCTCGGGGCTGAAGTGATTCCTGAAAAAACAAGAAAGGCTTACGCCGAGGGTCTTTTCCGCACATCTGTCATCCACGCTCCGGTTCCGGCCGAGGCGTCAATCATATATGGAGGCGATGGCGGTGATGTGGTGGGACTCGGCGCGCTCTACAAACCGAGGCATGGCCGAACCATTGACCCGCCGGCTACACAGCGGAGCCTTATGAGTGAGCTGTGTCTTGATGAGCTATTTTCTCTCGTTGAGATACACGATGAAGCGACATCTGCTCCGGCCATCTTGGTCCAGCCACCGACGCCGCGAGTGAAGCGACACGAGATGACACTTCCGTCTGGGGAGAATGGTGAGGGCGCCAGCGGAGAGGAGGATGCTACGCACGAGCTGCATGTCCGTCTTGCCCGCACGGCTGCCCCTTACTTGATTCTGCGGTGTGCACTCTCGCTCCGAGCGTACGTGGCTGACCAGCCCCTGAGAGGGCGCATGCCCCAGCCACTGTCGCAGCGCAAGGAAGTGACGCGCATCCTGAGATGCCTGGTAGAGTTGCGCTCGGAGCCGGATGCGATCCCCGACACGCCCAACGTAGACAGCGAGACGCGGAAACATCTTTTGCGCCTATATCCCCTCCTTATCAGTGGTGTCCAGGTGGCGGGGCGGTCGGGGGACGAGAAAGTGCTGGGACTCATTAGAGAGGCGCTGGATGTTGTTGGTGGGGAGCTAGGCGTCTAGATTCCATCCGAGTTAAACTGGTGCACGAGGTAGATCGAAAAGGCATACAATTTTGGCGACTGTTTTAATATCTTGTTTTTGCCATGTTGGCGCATATCGTTTAGGCAATACACGCACGGATGACGGCGTGGAGAGGAAGCTGTAGGGCTCAAATAAATACATTGTGGAGTGGTTCAACGACCCCCGTCGCTGACGCCATGCTTTTTGGTCTCACCCAGTGCTTTCCTGTCCCCGAATAACGCAGGACGAGTCATAGTAATGTTACAAAGCCTTCCTTATGGCAACATGCGCGAGCGGCTTGCCTCCTATGCAAACACATCTGTCCTCGACACTGCTAGATACCTAGCTCGCTATAGCCCCGTGCCAAGTCCCCGACAAGGTAAGCTCAGTTCTTGCCCGTGCCAGACCCAGACGCTGGCGGCGAAGGGATGCTAGGTTCTTGCGGGACGTTGGCTTGCTGGTCAAGCAGCTGCTTGGCTACCGTCTTGGCCTGGGCGTCGCCGACCTTGCCGTAGACGCTCATGGCGGTGGCAATCATGCTGCCAATGTCGCCGACATTGCCGGGCACGACGATAGCGGTGCCCTCCTTGGCCAGGCGGCCAAAGGCCTCGACGTACTTTTCAGCCACCGACAGGCTGACGGCCGACTGGGCGGAGCCGGCGCCCTGGGCAATGGAGCGGGCAACCGAGTCGATGCCGGCGGCCGTGGCGTTGGCGCGCAGCAGGATGGCCTCGGCCTCACCAGCCGCGTGGTTGATGCGCTCGGCGCGCTCGGCCTCCGACGCCAGGATGGCCGACTGCTTGCGGCCCTCGGCGATGTTGATGGCGCTCTGGCGCTGGCCCTCCGACTCGAGGATCTCGGCCCGCTTCGACCGCTCCGCCGTCACCTGCCGGTGCATGGCGTCCACGACCGGCAGCGGCGCGTGGATGTCGCGGATCTCGTACCGCAGGCACGTCACCCCCCACGCCTGCGCCGCCTCGTTGATCGCCGCCGTGATGTTGGTGTTGAGCGTCGCCCGCTCCTTCAGCACGTGGTCCAGCGACAGCTGCCCGATCTCGCTTCGCATCGTCGTCTGCGCCAGCTGGCTGATGGCGTACTCGGCATCTTCGACTCCGTAGCTGTTAACGAAGAGAGTCACGTTAGCATCGCGCATGAGACTACTAGTCCAATAGAGGGTTGATTGATTTGGGTAGGGCCCACCTGGCCTTGTAGGCGTCAAAGACGCGCGTGTACAGCACGCCGTCGAGCTCGAGGGTGACGTTGTCGGCCGTGATGGCGCTCTGGCTCGGGATCTCGATGGCGGACTCCTTGAGCGACTTGACGTAGGCGATGCGGTCGATGAAGGGGATCAAGACCGCCAGGCCCGGCTGCAGGATGCGGTGGAACTTGCCCATGCGCTCCACCAGCCACGCCGTCTGCTGCGGCACGAACCGGATGATGGTGTTGACCGGCAGCCGCTCCGTGTCGTCCTTTTGGAAGTATGTTGGCGGCGCCCCGAACCCCCCCGCCCCACCGCCGCGACCTCCGTCGCCTGGTGCGGTCAGCCGCGCGCTGGTCTGGAAGCTGCGGCTGGTCTGGATGCTGTGATCTCGCCATCTCGCTATCACGGCTGTGGAGAGTATTGGTGATTGGGATGATGTCGAGATGGGCGTGCGGGAGAACAGGGAGCTTGCTTGCCGCATGGCGGGCGCGAGGGGCACCGCGGCGGCCCTCTGCGCAATTGCGAGAGCCATTGTTTATCGTCTGGTTGACCGTCTCGGTCTTGTTCCCGTCTGTAGAATTTCGATTGCTGCTGCTGCGATGGAGTGGTGGCGGAATAAAGTGTGCTCGGTAATCTGTGTTCGCGGCTTGCGATGTTCGGCCGGGCTTTGAAGCTCTGCAGAGCTCAAGAGGCAGAATCAGCGATACGTCAGTGCTGGCTGTTCTCTGCCATTGGCCCCGTCACCGGTTGTGTGGGGCATTTCGAGATGGCCGGGCAGGAGCTACTTCGGAATATCCTAATGCTTGACCCTGGTCCTTCTGTTTGGGACTTGGGTTGTGGGTCTTTCAGGGTTCAGCCAGCGTACCACTCAGGCCCACAAGGTACTGTACCAGAATGGATACCCTTTCCTCATTCCATCCGTGAAGGTGACTGATATATAAAGTTTGGTCGGAATTTTCGACGAGCACCTCGCCAAAGCACCATCGGTAAATGTCGCATTTATGCTTACCGCGGGTATAATCAAGCAGGTCATGTGGCAGCGTGGCTTGGCCAGGACCCCGAGTTGCGACATGCCTGGGGCTGAAAGCGAGGCTTGAGCCACCGCGATGGAGGGGTCGTCGACATCTCTGGAGGCCGTCCACTGACGAGACTCCAAACAAATGCCGTCTGCACTGTCGCCCACAACGTCGAGACGAGACTGCAACCGCCCGCGCTGAACGGACGATAAGATGGATGGCTTTTCCATCGCTGCCACCTGCTTTTCACTCGCTGGTGGGATTGCGAAAGCGTCGGTAGTCCTTGTCGATTTCGCACGAGACGTCCGCGATGCCGCCCAGGACCTTGATGACGTTCTCGCGGAGCTCCGCGCTCTTGCCTCTGTCCTCAACCCCCTCGCGCAAAGCCTCACCCGAACAACCCTGTCGTCGATCCCCGAGCAGCTCGTGCTACAGGTCGAAAGCACACTCGGTGGCTGTACCGCCGTGGTTGAGCAAATCGACGAGAATGTGCACAAGTACAGGAGGAACAACATCTTTACCAGAGTAGAATGGGTAATGTTTGGGCAGGGCGACATGCGGAAGCTGCGGGACAGCCTTGAGGCATACAAGATGGCGTTGAGCCTCGGAATCCACGCCATATCTTTGTAAGCCGCTGGGTGTGGAGCTCGCGCAACAGTGATGCAAACATGTGCTGACGAGTCCCAGGACCACGACCCAGGCTGTGAAGGAAGATACATTAGCAATTCGCGAGTGTGCCCAGGCCATCAAGGTGAACACGGATGACATCCTCGCCCGCGTCAACAGTATCCGCCACAGTCGCCTGCCCCACACGCACCAGAGGGTGGAGGAGTGGATTGATGACATGAACGTTCTCAGTTTATACGCCGAAACGTCCTATCAAGGAACAGTTGCGGACCTAGCCGACATCCCATCTATTACCGAGAGCTTACCAAGGCTCCCAGAAGAAATAACTCCACCGGCCTCCCCGGAGACTAGGCTTGGCATAATAGAAGCCGTTGCGGTACCAAGAGACGCCGAAAATGTGGATCCCCTTTCTCGGCAAACTAGCTGGACCACCCAAGAGACAAATCAGCCAGCTTTGTCCATGCATGCCAAAGTCAGTTCACCACAGGGCCAGGTTTACACCAGTCCACCACTAGGCCACAAGCCACCGTCTTTACCAAAACCAGTATCAGAAAGGCGAAGCGAGTTGTCCGCTCGGGAAAGGCCGCTAGTGTTAATAGAAAGGGGTGGGCAGAGTATTCAGGTCCTCGATGAAAGCATCGGGCGCAAGCAACTAGACAGGGCAGCCTTGGACAAGATTTATTCGCAACCTCGCGCTTCACACCGCGCCTGGGCTCAGGAGAAAAGGCCTTCTTTACCTGATGCTGTGCCGAAAGCTGGATTAGATTCTTCAGTCAAAGGCGGCCAGCTTCCGAGTAATCACCGGCACTTTGCTGATGTATGGGACCCAGATGATCATGATGGACCCCCGCACGATAGCCAACTCTCTGAGGCTGACAAAGAACATCTGCCCGGTACACAGCGCGTCGCAAGAAGAGTCGTGGACTTTTTCAGAAGACGAGGAAAGGCCAGGGCGGGGCTGGGCCAGGGGCCGCCTGAACAAGTCGAGCAGCACTGATAATTCAGATTAAAGTGCGTCTTGATAATCCCTGTCCGAGGTCATCCTCTCCATGTCTGTGATCTAGACTCTGCCTCGAGACAGGCTGTTTAGTCTCTCGATGCAACCAAGCTCGGAGTAAGCTGCGACAAGTCAATATTTCATGCTCTGCATCAGAGGGTTTGTAATTTGACACATTCAACCAGAAGCAAAGTTACACCCGTCCCGTGGAACGGCCTTGTTTCAGCGGAAGGGTAACGACACGGGTTTTGTCGTACACTTTGATAACCAGTTCCGTCAAACGAATATGGCTGGACAAAGTGACTAAACAACTTTGGCAACCTACCAGCTAATGTATCGCTAGTCACTATTGTGCCACCGTGGGTCTCGCGCGACTTTTTCAAGGCGAGCTAATACTTATTTGGGGGAGAGAATTGCCGGGGGTTTTCTTGCTGTTGCCTGGCTAGGTGGCTTTTTGGCTCCACCCCTACCGCTCCCAACGATTCCTTATTTCACCAGGGCGATGATGGTGGGGAGCTTATTGGGCTTGGATTGGACAGCGAATCCAACCTGTGCCGCTATGTCGTTTCGGGATTTTCAGCTGAGGGCGCTTGCAGGGTGCATATTTATACCAGAGTCTAGCCGTGGAATTTTCCGATTCTTGGTCCCCCGCACCTCTCAGATCCCGAAATCGAGTCTGCTGCTGTTCGAGTTGACCAGGCGACAATCACCAACCTGAGACACTTCTCAAACGATGAATTCTACGCCTCAGGGGTCTCAACCCGGGCAGGGCCACAGAAGAGACAGTGTATCGTCTCTGAGCGACCTTGAACCAGATGTCGTGGCCGATGCTAGCGTTACTGAAGGCTCCCAGTCTGGCCGTCCAGCTCGGGCCCCCAGCCAAGAATTACGCCATCATGGCTCGAGCGAATGTACGAAAAAGCAGTGACCACGATATGGCAATCGCCAGTGCAGCTGATCTCAATTTTAGTCTCCCTAGGCCCCTTTGTTCCCATCAGGGAGGAGGAGGCTGCAAGGACCGCTCGGCTTCCACCGCTTAATTTCAGGCCGCTGGCATTGAAAAACGAGTATCTCATTTTTCTCATGACCTGGTTTTTTCTTTGCTTTTCTGGCGTCGCTGTTCTCGTCATCTTCGGCAGAGTCCAGCCCCCCTGGTTCCAATTCCGGTCAGATTCCAGCTATCAGCTGTGGTTCTATGCTCCGGGCATCATCGGCTTCCTGACTACGGTCCTATGGCGAGGAACCATTCAGTCTTACAATCGCATCATACCGTACGTCCGCATGGCCAACTTGCCGATCTCCTATGAGGATCAAGGCGGCTTAGGCGGCGAGGAGGCATACCGGGGCTTTACGACTGAGCAACTCAATGCAATCCCCGGTGGCACTGTCAACATTGGCGTTGTCGTGCAGCTTTGGAAAAGAGGCGACTATATGAGCGTTGCTGTCAACCTCACCCCCTTTTGCACCCTCTTACTGACTCCCCTAAAGTCGAGTCTGTTCCAGCTTATCCAGGACGACTCGGGGTGGAATATTCGAGTCTCGGTGGGGTTCGGAGTCGTCGCCATGGCCATTTACGCCTGGCTTTTGCTGGTAACGCTCAGCATCGCCATCCATCTGCGCAAGAAGCGAACGGGCTTGAAGTGGAATCCGGCCACCCTCGCCGCCCAGTTGGCGCTGATCCAGGGCTCCGACATATTTGGCAGTTTTACCGAAATTGACACTACCAAGTGGCGATTCCTCAACGACGCCATACAGAGCTGGTCTCAAGGGCCCACCAAGAAGTGTTTATGTCTCGGGTATTGGAAACAGAAACAAGCTAATGGGCAGGATCTGATAATACATGGGGTACGGTTTCTTCCTAGAAGCGAAGACTCCCATTCAAAGGAATCCAAGACGCGCAGCAATACCAGTCAACCGGGCCAACCCCTATCTAGTGAGTTCGCATTCGGGGTTTCATAATTGGGCAGCATACTTGTTTCTTCATGACACTGACAAGCGGGACAGTACAACGTGATCAACCAAGACATCCGGAGGTCGACCGGATATGGAATCCGGTCCTTCGGGACCTCTATATGGGAATAGCCACGATACTGGGCGTCGCATTTCTGGTCGCTGGTAGCGTCGCGTGGGGCAGAGGCTTTATCCACGAGACAGCTCGCGTCGAATTCGTAAAAAGAGACGTGCCAGCAGCTGAGAGCGAGAAGATGAATCACCTCGTTCAGCTCGGCCGGGGGATAGTCTTCTCATTGCTCCCATCGTTGATTTTCGGCTTCTTCAACAACAACTTTGTCGCCGTCGACGTCTACCTCAGGACCATGACGCCAATTCACAACATGGCCATGCCGCTTCCAGAACCTGACCAGGAGCGCCTGTACCCTGACAAAAGGGGCATCAAGGGCGCAGCTGCCCGCGACAGCGTGCTTCTCGACTACGTCTCCCTCGACCTTATCAGCTGCATCGCCCAGGCGTTCGACCGGGGCCACTACAAGATCATTCTTGGCACGATCCTTGCAACGTTGTGCAACTCAGTCTACCTAGTTGCGGGGCGGCTGTTTTACTACACCGAGGTCGAAGAGTTTGCGTTTACGGTTCACGTCAACCCTAGCAACCTCTACGCAGCCGTCGCCATCATGATCTTCTACTGCATCGCCATCTGGGTGCTGCGGCCAACCGGTCCCGTCCGCACCTGCCGCCCCGTGTACACGCTCATGGACCTCACGTCGCTCGTGCACGCCAGCGACATTGTCCGCCACCCCCCCGAGTTCTGGCTGCAGGCCGCATCCGATACCGAGGCCCACATGGTTGCCCAGGCCACCCTCGCCAACCGCGTCTACCGCTTCGGCATCTATGAAGGCACCGATACGCGGGAGCACGTGGGAATTGCCGTTGCGGAGACGCCGGATTCGTGGAGAATCTCGCGTGCCGCCGAGACAAGAGTGGATGCAGACGATACAGTGATCCCGAAACTCAACCGCTCCATTGGGTTGATGAAGGAGGCCCTGTATTTCGGCGTCATCCCGTCACCATTCTCACCTTCCGACAATGCAGAGAACGAACAACCCCAGCACCAGCTTGGGACAGGGACCTGTGTCGAGAGGGTCCGCTCGGTTCGGTACCGCAGCTGGAGACGAAGGGTCAGGAGGTCGAGTTCTCACCGCGCAGCGGATAACGACGATGCCGAGTCGGGCCGCGGCAGTCCTGGACAGAACGGTAGTGTTCGCAGTGGGCGTGATGTCGCGCCTGTTGTCGCAGCACCAACACCAGAACCGGTTCCGCAGCCGGCGCCTGCTCAGGGTGGCGACGGAGAGCATTGAGTTTGATGTCGATGTGATCAAATTGATTTATTGTGTTAGTTATTCAGTACCTAGGTACCTTATTGTTCCAGAGAATGTCTGTTCTAGCCACTCAAGAAATACTAATTCTATAAATTGGACTCTAACTACTTGACAAGGGTTGAAGGGGGTGAGTGAGCGAGATTCGGGATTGGACGATGACTCGGACGGCTGCTACCTCGTTTCAGGAAGTTCACTAGGTAATTAAGGGGTTGGGGTGGGGCTTCTGGCAGATGGTCTCAAATATCTGGTACGCATTTTTACCAGAGCCTCGTCGTTGGACTTTCTGACTCTGCAATGTGCACGCCCCGCACTTGTCACTCTTCAGAGTCAGCTGCCACTTATCTCAACCCCATTCGCCGAGACAGCCAATGCCCCGGTCATGGCTCGATACGATTGAACTTGGCCAACTTTTATAGGATGAAATGGCTGCCACCTCAGTGACGATCGAGTTAAGCACATTTGTTGCTCGGCAACATGTGTCGTCAGTTAACCTCGGCACATACGAGCTGCTTCCGCTCGGTCCTCGTCAGATTCGGCTTCTCGATATTCCCGCACCAGAAAGACAACAGACGGACTCTCTACAAGCCAGCCTGCGGGTGGTGAGCTTGGATGAACATCCGTACTACGTGGCGCTCTCATACGTATGGGGCGCCCCCGCCGTCCCACTGCCTGGTGCCGACAACACTGGCGAGCAAAATGAGTCGGTGGCCATTGCGGTCACGCCTAACTGCCTGCTGGCAATGCGAACCTTGAGCCAGGCGCTGGGCGGCATGGCTGGGGTCTGGGTGGATTCCATCTGCATCAACCAAAGTGACGAGGTGGAAAAGTTCAGCCAGATAGCTCTGATGGGCGAGATTTACTCAATGGCGGATACGGTGCACATCTGGCTCGGCGACAGTGGCCCCGGAACCGACCAGGCCGTCGATACTTTCTTCCGAATCGCCGGCTCCCAACAGGCCCTTAGGCCCGACCCGGAGAGCGTGCTCGGGGTGACGTGCAAAAGTCTTGGAGCTCTGGCTCTCTCCCGAGCCGTGGTACGGCACTTCTACGATGACTACTACCAGCCGTGGCGGGTGTTTTTGAGAGAGGAAGGTTGGTCGTCTTCCTGCCGAGACCCTCTGGCCGATTATTTACTAACATAGCCACGAGAGCAGGTCTAAAGACTACCCTGGTCTCGCTTATCATCAGGCAACATCCCCATCTTCCGCCCGAAACCTGCCGCGGGGTGATCGACATCATTTCTCGCGAGTGGCTCTTCCGGATCTGGACCTTGCAGGAACTCGTGCTGAGCCAGAACCCCATTCTGTGGTGCGGAAAAAAGTCCCTCCCGTTCCGTAGTCTCGTCATCAGCATCATCTCTATCGAAGTGTCATACCGGTGGTGTCAAATGCTGGGCTCGCGCCGCGCCTATCACCTGGTGCGGAGGTGGACGGTCTTGACGTGTATCTGGATGGAAAGACAAGCGGCCATCCGGGGCCGTGAACCTGGGGACCAGCTTAAATACTTGGGTGACTACAACCGCTTTCTTCGGCGGCTCGAACTCGTAGACGCTGTTATCATGACTGCTGTCGGAGCCAGCGTGGTTGGTGCCTTGATCACCTACTCTGAACCACTGGGGGGGCCAATCTTGCTTGTGTTCGTTCCTATTCTTTGGGGACTCGCCGTGCTTGTCCCGGGGAGGTTTATGAAGCTCTACCACAGAATCAAGGTGTCTAGCTCCGTGGGACGGAACATTTCGACATTCCAGGATTTCAAATACTCGATCACTAACGAGATGGTGTCGCGCATGGCGACGGATGCTCGCGACAGGGTCCACGGCATTCGAGGGCTCTTGGACCCAGAAGCCCAGGCTGTGCTGAATCACACCTCGGCTACATCCGCACCCCAACTGTTTCAAGATTACTTTGAAACTGTCGCAACGACCGACACGCTGGCATGCAGGCTCATCTTCTGTGCCAGCGGGCCTCTCTGCGAAGGCGGCCCGTCGTGGGTGCCAGACCTGGAACGCGCGCACAAAGCCTGGACGCAGCCGCAGTCCGTGTTCTGGAACGCACAGTACCAGTTCCAGGAGGACTTCATCCCCGCGGACGGCCCGCAGGAAAAGTTCGTGCCTGTCCTGTCCATCTCGGACGACCACCGCAGACTCACGGTGGACCGCATCGACGTTGGCAAGGTCCTGTGGGTCGGCGAGGCCTTCCGCGCACCGCCGGCGGCCGTGGAGATGCTGTTATCGGAGGACGGCGGGTTCTCTGCCGCGCACCTGCACAACTTGCGGCAGCTCTGCGAGCCGCTTCTCCGCCGGCGCAGCGACAGCGACAACAACACCAAACTTTCGACATCCGAGTGGCCGCAGCTGGCCTATGTGCTCCTCAAACGACACGAAATGACGGACCTGTCACTGATCGAGGCCAAGCTTACCAAATGGATAAAAGTGGTACGGAAGTGGCGGACAGAGGAGGACAGCGCAGCCGTTCTCGCCGGCTTACGCGACGGCCAGCTGCTGAAATTCCACGACGCCATCTGCAACAACCTCGAGGCGAGCAAGCGGCGCCTGTTCGTGTGCCAGGCCAGAGACAAGCTGCGGCTGGGCAATGGGCCCGAGGGCCTCCAGCCGGACGACGACGTGGTCGGGATAACCCATTACGGCGCCGACAGTCTTCTTGCTGTTCGGCACGGACCGCAAGACGCTTGCTCTCGGCTGGTTGGGAGTTTGGAGCTTGAGGGTGATTGGTGGCGGCGTGCCGACTTGGAGCGTGAGACTTTCACGCCTTTGGTTCTGGAATGAGGCTTTCTCGTGGCTACTATTAGTGTTGTCGTGGTTAGAACAGCCCTCGGAAGGCAGCCGGGAATATAGTTATTGATATTATTGATATTGAATGCATTTAGAATCGGAAACCTTGTAATTGCGGCGATACCTTGATATAATAGTCGTACTACTATGTATATGATCTCATATAACGTTAATTATATAGAATTTGGGTGAAGTAAGGAAAAATGAAACTTAGAATGTGGTTAGATTTTTTCTTCTACTTAGCTCAAGGTCAATCCATGCTATGGAATGACGTTTTCTGCGGTCCGAACAGACCTCATAAAAAACTTGGTCCCTAATTATTCGACGGGCACGGCCAGGGTATTGGAATTGGTCGCGGCACCAGCCGGGTCTTTGAAAGCGCCGTAGTCATTATCCTCGTCGGCCGCAAGCCGTGTCTTTCTCTCAACCCTCGCATCCCAGGTCGCGGCCTTGGTCAAGTTCCGTTTTCTCATCGTCTGCATGATCTGCTGTTCCATCCGGTCGATGCCGTACTCCAGGTCACTGTCTTCTCTCGCATAGCGTTTTTCTCGGCTTTTCTCCCACACGAAATAGAGGGCCACGACCAGCAACGTGAGGGGTATCGTTACGGCCCAGTAGAACCAGAATGTCGGGGACGCGGCCGACGCCATGCTGGTGGCGTCGTGGAAGTCGAAGAAGGACGTTGAGAAGAGAGACTAGGATCGGCGTCGTGTTAATTAACCACAATGCACGCATCAATTACCTAGGCAGCAGCCATGTAAGATGAGATCTGAAGTATACTCACGGCTAGGAAGGTCCCTGGAAGAAGCACTGCGCCAAGCAGTGATATCCCTTTTGTTGCGCCTACTTCATGCTTGCTTGAGTGGGCTAGCCTGCGCTGCTCGCCGGCCATCTGCAGGCTCAGCTTACTTTCCTTCTGAGCGATCAAGTTGTACAGCTGTTGTTTCCTTGATGTAAGCCAATTAAGCCTGGGATCTCTGTTTCCGGGGGCATGACTCACGGCGCTTCTCTGGATCTCGAGCCTCTGCATCGTCGTGCTCGCATACACCTCGATGCCGTCCCACCTCTTCCTATACAGGCCGAGCCTGGACGCCATGGCGACCTGGAACTTTTCTACGGCGACGGTCTTTCTCTCGGCGGGCAGCATCTGCATGAACAGCCGCGCGGTCTCCTCGAGCGATGAGATGACCGAGAGGTAGCTCGTCGGTCGCTTCCACAGGACCTGCGATTGGCACTCGACCAGGTCGCGGTTGATGGCGTTGAAGTCGACGACGCCCTCGCCTAAGTACCGATCGGACTTGTCTAGGAGGTCGTCGTCGCGCATCGCGATGGCGTGCTCCAGCAGGCGCAGCCACTGGCGCGCGTCGCGCTGCTTCGCGTCGACGGCCGGCGACGACTCGTAACCAAACTGGAGCAGCGGGAGCAGCAGCGCGTGGCCGAGCTCGGAGCCGCACGCCTTGAGGTGGTTGACGAGGTCAGACAGCGACGACGAGGGGGTTCCCTTGGCGAAGCCCGTCGTGATGCCCGTCCGGAACTCGTGGCTGAGGATGAGCTCCCAGCCCCTAGTGTAGCCTTTCTTGCGCACGTCGCCTTTGCGGAAGACCATGTCTTTTTGTTCAAAAAGTTAACGAACTTGAACTCACGGGACTCAACAAAAAAGGTAGTCAGGAAGTAACCAACGCATATAATGGTTCCCGTCGTCGTCGAGATGCAGCCCGGACCAGAAGTACGGACCAACGACGCTTGTTGTTTCGATAGCCAGTCGCGGGAGGTGTAGGCCATCGATCATTGCCTTGTAGTCTTTCGGTTCCATGCTGATGTGCCTAGGGCTGAAGGTTTCGGGGTGCCGGGCGTTTTTTTGGAGGCTTGGAGTCCGTCAGTGCCAGTTTCAGCGCAATCAATGGCGCAGGACATGGTTGGCTGAGTAGGTAATTAGATACAAGACACGCACAGTAATCGAACTCCCGCAACGGGATGCACATCATCGGGCAGGATGGCTGAAGCAAAGATGCCCTAATCGAGAAGAGTAATTAAGTAACTGTTGGTGAATATTCCGTCAAGTGCATCACTTAATGGAGCAAGGAAAATGGAATGAGTGCTAACCCGTCGATGAATGAAATTGTCAAACTCGTCAGGCGGAAGAGGATGCTCTTCGACCGAATCCAGGCTGGCATCCTGTGCAATGCAATGCATGGATCGGTTAGCCAGCGAGCAAGTCATGGACATCGATAGGAAGTGACAATTCGTAGCTGATTGAGTCGGCAAGTAATTAATTACCGAATATGAGAACATCTCCAGGTATGACGTGGACTCGGTCACGGTTTTGCAATCTGCAACGAACTTGTTGAAAGTGAAGTTATCCATTTTTCTCCTTTCCCCCTCTTTTCCGCTTTTCGTCTAATTATGGCGAGATGGCATCTGGTAATTACAATGGACTGCTGTTTGTTTTCGCAACGTTATATTCTCTTAAACATGTGTGGCGAGTCGTACGTGGGCTGAAAACTCTGCGGTTGACGTGGATGGCGGATGCTGACCGCCTTTTAAAGCATTGTTAGGGAATAGGCAAGTACTTACCTGGGCGTATTCCGCCTTTTCGACTCTCTAGTCTAGTTCCCGTAATGCGGCTCCCTGTCGTGCTGCAAAGCTGCCCAATCATTGACTGGGTACAATGCATGTCCGGGTTAGGGTTTGGTTGCTGACCCTACCTGCTGCTGCCTGGGACGTTGTTGCCTAAGGCTAGGAGGGTGGATGAAGGTTCTTGCCTTAATAGATGGGTCGGGTGCCTTTGGTGTTGGGAAGAAAGTTGCCAGCCTGCTCCCGCCAATGGTCATGTCCTCTTCCGTCCATTGCACATAATTCCAGTCGACTGAGTCTTTCCGTCAGACACCACGGTGCAAGTTCTTGGCGCTTGGACCTGTTTGCAAATTGCCAAATTGCAATGTGATGCAATTCATCAGCTTCGGCCATGATGCTGCAAAGGCCGCCAAATCTGCCTACAGGCTAGACTCTGTCAGAAGCGACCTTCCTGATCAAGCGGGCCGCCTTCTGACGCTTGTCGCCAACGTTGACAATCCTCTCGCTGCCATCTTAGGTAGGTGCACGGGTCAACGCTAGATCTCCAGACTTCATAGGCAGTTAATTGCTCCCACACATGGCCCCCTCCGCGCGCCAGAGAAATCACTTCGTTACATCCCCCTCCGCACCATTTCCCTTCTCGAAAACCGCCTAAACATTGAGCATGCTCAAGCGAAGGACAACCTAGGTACTCTCGCAGTCAGCGCACTCATTCATATATGTATCACGCCGTGTCAAACCTCACCTTCTCAATGTATCTCACTCCAACAAGAATGCCGTCCTGGTCTTCAAATTCCCTTTCGTCTCCAAAGTCGGCGTTCTCCGCATCCAGGCACGTTAGACACGTTTCGACAATCTCAGCGTACCTGGTCCCCATGCAGCGCGGGAGCTGCTCTCTTGTAAGCCCTAGCAGGAACTCCTTCCCCGATGCCTTTAGCCACTGGCCCGCAGCTTGCGGCTCTTCAAGTGTCCGCGAAGGCAGCTTTATGCCTCCAAACACAGCGCTGGAGAGGCGAGGTAATGCCATTTCATCCGGTATTCCCGTCCCTGCAAACACTTTCGGTCTTGTCGCTATTCGTCCCGTCTCTGCGGCGTCTACAGCAGAGCTGGGGGGGGCAGGATATTTGACGAAACTGGTCCACAGCCCGACCTCAAGCAGGCATACGCCAAGGCTATAGATGTCGTGCTGCATGACGTAGTGTTCGCGCGGGCTGGCACCCTGCCGTGACGGGTGACGGTACAAATTCTTGTGAGTAGCGTCGTCACCCTTGCGGTGGGTCTGTCCTTCGTCTCTGCGGAAGTTCTCAAAGCCAACCAGGAACACAGACTGCCGCGCCCCGCTTGTATAGTCCTTCTCCGACATGGGCTCAGAGATTTTGGTGTCAAAGCAGATGACCGACTCGGGCCGTACGCTCTTATGCACGAACCCGAACGTGTGCACGTACCCGACTGCCTTGGCCAACCCGCGCGCGATCTCGAAGCGGTCAGTGAGGGAGTCCGGCGCGGGCGTGCTGGTCAGCTTCTCGCGCAGGGTGCAGGGTCTGGCTGCGCCGCTGCCGGGAGGCGCGCGGAATACCATGGTGAAGGTGATGTCGTGGGTGGGCAGCATTGTGAACCCGGAGCCAGACCCTTGAGGTAATCCCGATTCTGGACCAGCAGCACTGGCGGCGGCAGCAGCGTCAGCTGTAGTCTCCGTCACGAACCCCTTGCAGCTGAGCAGACCAAACGTGTGCGGCTCGTCGTGCTGTAGCTTGCGCGCTAGGTCGCGCGTGTCCTTCTTGATGATGCGGTACTTGGACAGCGGCTGGCATTCGATCCGGTTCAGCAGGTACAAAGTCACGTCGCCCGTGGAGCTATAGCGGCGCGCCAGTAACGTGGCATCACAGTACGAGATTGGCGAGACGTACATCTTCCGTAGCTCCTCGGGCGGCAAGGCCAGTCCTAAGTTAGTAGCAGTGCTGCTTGCTAGAGAAAACCTGTCGTCAAGCCCAGCTCGGATCGTCACCGTCGATGGGATGGAAACGGCGGTGCTGGATAAGGAGGCGTTGTCTTCGTCTTCCGGTGTGGCCAGGGCGCTATCGACTTTGGGATTCGCGATCAACATGAGAAGAAACCAAGACAGGTCCGCTGTTCGCTGCCACGTCTCGAGCTCCTCGATGGCCTTATCAAGACTTTCCTTCTTGCGGGCGTATTTGAAGCGGCGCGTCTTGTAGCATGTGTCAAAGGTGTCGCGTTCAGGCCCAAAGGTGCCGGCACTCGGTCGCTTCTCGACATGCATGTCCTTGAGCATGGACGTGACGATCTGCAGTTTGCTGAGGAACATTTGGAGAGTCTGGTCGTAGACCTTGCGGTGGTCATCGTCCATCATGTCCGAGACGCGCCGCAAAAAGTTGAGCTGGTGCGTGATGCGGAGCCAGCCATTTTCGAGGCGAAGCACGCGCTCCGATATTTGCGCGTCTGCATGCTTGAAAGTTGAGCAGACGTCCCTCAGCTCCTTTCCATATCTTGTCGCGTTTGTTAGCGCCGGACTCGATGCATATTTAAGGGGCCGTTCTTACTTGAAGCACAGGTCTACGGTTGCAACAATTCCGAGGGCGAGCTCAACAGACATGTTGACTGCCCAGGCGATTGCTGCACACTACCTGTGTTGGTTCTTTGAGTTTCCCGACGGATGGAAAACTGACCAGGTAGCTAGAGCCTCGTCTTCGCGGTGGCTGAGACGCTGCGCAGTGACCTGGCCGCAGACACAGCCACCACCAGCGCACATGACAAGACCGCTCCCATTCGTCAAAATCGCTCACATTCCCTCAGGCACGAGTTTTTCTACCTTTTGAGGGCGCCTAACGAGGGGGCCATTCGCTCCTCCCCCAAACACCCCACAGTTCACACAAGGAAGCTCGAACACGCCTCGTTTGTTGATCGTCACACTTTGGTCTACATCCACTGCATCTGATCAGCGGACCTTGCGAAATATATGCAAACTGATGCGATTGCCAAAGTTGGACTAATGTCTGATCGACCGCCACGACCGATTGCCCTCGCGTAGAAGGGAGCTTGGTTGAGGTCGGCGACCATGGCAGGCCAAAACCGACCACTCCCGGAGTTGGTGCGCGACTGGAGGCTTCAAGCCACCATTCAACAAAATGGTAATGTCACTACCCATACCCGCCCGCCCTCGACTCGTGAAACCTGGACGCGTGAGAAGAGATTGGGCCGCGGGGGTTATGGCGACGTCTGGCTGGAGCGGAAGGTGAAGCTGAAAGGCGCGCGGGGATCTCACACGGCCGACCTTCGCGCCGTCAAGTGCCTTGAGATATCCAATCGCGCGTCGCATTCCGACGCTGAGCACTTCTATGTGCGCGAGATTGAAGCATTGGCCAAGTTCTCGCAGGCCAACATGGAGTATAATGAGTACTTTGTTAAATTCTTCGGCTGGTACAAGGCGCCCGGTTCCCTATACATCGCCATGGAATACTGCGAGCATGGCGACCTGAGGATGTACCTTGCCGATCACAAAACCTTGCCAGAAGACCAAGTACAGGTTGTTGTCCGCCAGGTTCTCGGCGCCCTTTCCTCCATGCACAAAGAGGGATTTGCTCATCGAGACCTCAAACCCGCGGTAAGAGCGGAGTCTCCCGCCACGATACCACTGGTTTATCAAAGACCAATGCTAAATAATTGTGTGCGACAGAATATTCTCATCAAAACTCATCCACCCGAGCATGAATGGTGGACGAAAGTGTGCGATCTCGGGCTCAGCAAACGAGCCGAGGGTGTCGCGGGGGGGCTCACCACAACGATGAGAGGCACCGAAAATTTCATGGCCCCAGAAACAAAAGGCTTTCCCTTCACCGGAGATCCCAGGACTGCGGATCCATTTCGTGCCGATATCTGGTCCCTTGGCGAGACTGTTTTCCGTGCCCTGACGGGCCACGGGACGTTTCAGGACCCAGTGGCCTTCTTGGATTACCAACAAGGAAAACATAACTTCCCGTTAAATCCGCTAAGAGAGGCCAAAGCAAGTCCTTTGGCGCAGTCTTTTGTTGTCACACTCATGTCACCCTTACCGAAAACCAGACCAGAGGCACCAGATGCCTTACGCCACCCATGGATAAAACAGGGAGACGAGCCTTCACTTGTTCTTCCGGACACAGAAACGGTTTACCAAAGTCAACTGGAACCCGGAGATTCATCATTATATGCAGAGAATGATCTCACCAAGCCATCAGGCCAATGGACCACCACCATGCCTCATCGGGGGGCCATCCCATCCAATGCCTCCCATATTCCCAACGAAGTGGAGATTACGTTGCCGTCTGGATCTTGGAGCACAACCTCAGCCCTGCAACAGCAGAGACAACCACCCAGCCCAGCGTCCGGCACAATTCCTGTCCTTGATGCAAACTACCAGGTGTCCGAGGAGCATTCCAGGGCGTCGGCGTTTCCGCTTGAGTTTACGACTCTCAATGCCTTTGACTCACTCTGGAGGACGAATTTCTCGGCCGCAGTAAGGGGCTTCCCGGACAAGTTCCTTCACGAGCATCAAGATATGTTTATTGAGCGTTTCAAACATGAGCAAAAACAAAAGGAGATCCAGCACCACTACCAACTTCAGCACCAACTTCCTATTCATCTACAATCACATTCACAAGGACCCCCACTTGCTAGCACTGACCGTTACTTATCTTCCTTTGGCCCCTCCACTTACTATTCCGCCACCCGAGGCTTGCCAAGTCAACTCGGGCGGGGTTCCGCCTTGAACCCTTCTGGCCTCCCAGCTCAAATGGCACCTCGTGAACGACCACAACCTCAGTACCCTCCTATTTCCTCATACTATGGCCCGTCTCCAATACCCACCGATTATCCACTATACCCTGGCTCCATGTACGGGTACGGGCAAGGAGCGTATTTGCAATACCAATCCCTAGCTGACCAACAAAGACTACCCGCCCCGGCGATGGCGGCCCCCATGATGGTGCACAGTGGTAGCACGCAGGGCTATGGCTACAATACTTTTGGATATCCAATGCCAAGACAGCAGGCCCCGATGATGATGTTTCGCGGCAGCAGTCAGGGCTCCAACTCGGTCTACCAGCCAACGCCGCCGTTGCCTTCGCAGGCCGCAACTGCAGTAGGCGCAGCAGGAGTAACTGCGATGCCTACACCACCCTCCAATAGTTCAGCTGCAGTTCCTAAATTTGGAGATTTAGTGTGGGAGAGCGAATATTTATCGCGACCACCTAGCCTGGGATCAAAGCCTGATGGCACCGATGACGTGAAATCCAAGCTCGCTCCTAGTCCTGCTATACGCAGGAGCCCTAGCCCGATTATACTAGCAGAGCCCCCACAACCTAAGCCGAAAGTTCCAGATGACGAGCAGCTGGACCCGTTGGCCGATCTCTGGGTATTCGGGCTCGACCCTTCTGTTACCGAGGCCGTGCTCTTTGAGCTATTCTGTGACATCGGTCAGCTGCGCTCGATCCGCGTTGATCGCGACCAGATCACGGGCCGCTCGCTTGGATCTGCCACCGTCAGGTACAAAAACGCGTCAGACGCTGCGAAAGCCGAGAAGAAGCTGAACGGCACCACGATCAAGGGCCGTCCATTTAATATAACTTATGGGGCCCTCTTTGCCCCTGCCCTCTTTGACCATGTTGAGATGACGGAACCTATCATCCAGAGAGATGTTTCGGTCTCTGGTGGGAGCACGTCGTCGCCAACGGAGCAACTCAAGGAGGAAAAGGAAATGTTGCAGGGAGTGAGGAAATGGAGGCGGACACGTCAGCTAAGATGGGGACAAGTCAGATCTCCGCTGCAGTGAATGCCAGTCTAAATACGAAATATGTGGCGCTGTTGAGCGTGGCGGTTGATGGTGGCGCAACATGTCCGGGAAAAATTGGAACCACCAACGCTTTACAGAGTACGGGTTCCATACTTTACTTAGCGCAAGCCCCCAAAGCTTTTCCCTGTTGGCAATCTAATGTTTGTGCAGTGCACAATTGTCTCTGCACTCTGTCTGCCAGCTCAATTGATAGCGACATTCGTCAAAGAGGCTCAATAATGGCGACAAAGGCTTCCAGATCCACTTCCAAGTTCCCGTTGAGGACAAAGACAAAGTCTGGGACACAGACAAAGTCTTACGATTTTCCAACTGCAAAGTGGGTCGGCCCCTGCAAGCACTGACATTTTGTGGCGGTTGCCGTGTCAGCCTGGACCGTGGGTTCACCAGGTGGCGCAGGCGGCGTCGGCGCGTTTTCGCGTGCTGGTCTCTCAATTAAAGGCCTGGCCGCGCCCACACACCCACCCAAACTCCATTTCACCTCACACCCTCTTTTTCCCGTTTTCTGTCCCGTTCGGTCAAAAAACGACACCATCCGATCCAATCCAATCCAGTCCCAATTGCATCAATTGGCTACCACGCTCTCTCATACAACTTACACATAAGATGGATTTCAGCATGGACATCGACATGAACCCGCGGAAGCGCTTCCGCGACGCGCAGGACGACGACGTGCCAATTGACGGCTGCAACGTGGACACGGCCGACGGGGGTGGTCGCGCCGCTAAGAAGTCGCGGCGGCACTTGCCGCAGCTGCTGTTGTCGGCCGACACGCCCGCACGTGACCCCACATTTTCGCTTCCGCACCCCAGCCCCGCAATGTCCATGCCGATGGACCAGGACATGATGGACTCGGAGCCATTTGCCAGCAGCAGCGACAGCGACAACAGCGGCCCTACGACGCCCGCATCCTCCGCCGACGATGAGAGCAGCAGCAGCAGCGACCTCTTCTTCAAGTCCGTGCCGGCGGCCGTGGCCCACTTCGCTCCATCCAACCCTCCACAACCGCAGTACCAGGAGCAGCCGCGCTCGTCCATGGTCATCTCGGGCCTCAACCAGGCGCGCCGCAACCAGGCGTACCTCCGGCAGGGATATCCCCTGAGCTGGATGCCTGATCGACCGGTGAGTGCATCCCGAGTGTTTTTCAATGTGTGACACTGTGAAATGAATTGGCGATGCTGACTCGTTGCAGTGAGAGAGCGAGTGAGTGGGTGGGTCTGAACTGCCTCATCGACGCCATGTAAAGTGCATAGGAACGGAGTGCATCTCTGCGGACAAAAAGCATGTAAAAACAAAAGCGGCGCGTGTGTAAGAATATTCTTTTTGTTTGGGTTGTAAGATTAGATCGGCAGCCGGCGCTGCAGTCGGGTCAGTCAGTCACTGACTGGCCTGCAGCTTTGTGTATTACAGAGTTCTGCGGTTTGTGCAGAGCACGCTCTTTAGTTTAGTTTTGTTGTATTAGAAGGTGGAAACATAATGAGACGAGCCTTCTCTCGTGGAAAAAGAGGGTTTCATGGTCACTTGATCTCGCATTCGTTCCGACCGCGTTCCCAGCTTGGTGATAATCATGAGTGGCCCATGTTGAGCTGCATCCACCAGGCCAAGACGACAATTCACAATGCACATTAACGGCATGCCTCTCCGGCTGTCAATTTGTCGGAGACAGACCTGTGCAGCAATGGGACGCGACCAAGATAAAACCATGAGCGCTTCAAAAGACAAAAAGAATCACGAGTCTTATGATCGTGCCCAGCCTCGGACTCAATTGAAGATGGAATGCGAACCAAGCAGCCACTCCCGGACAGTTCTACTTCACTTTACACTTCCCATGATAACTTTGAATGCTGAATGAGAGATTTTACACCTCTGCGTTGTGTTTAATTCCACGTTCATTTGGGACAACTCTGCAAGGCTATTGGACCCTGACCAGTGTTTTGAGCAGGACGGTAGGTGCAAGCCAGGTGTCGTCACCAGGCACGGAGTCAGTTACATGAACTCATCGATGTCGTTCGTGTACGTCCCCGGGCTGCCTCTTAATTAATCAGTCACCGGTCTTGCTGATAACTACGTACCCACCCACCTGTGTAGCGCCGCCCGTGAGGGTGAACGAACCTGGAAAAATGGGCGTCGGTGCAGCATATTCTCATGCCGTTGTGCTGATTGATCGAGAGAGAGACTGTTCAGATCAGTCAACCAGCACCCGCCTATTACAGATGAGGCAAGCTCAACTGTGTCCATTTTACTGTGTGCGTGGCAATGGGTACAAGACATTTTACTTTGGTGATGAATATTTGGTCCAACCGTGGAAGTCGCTCCTTGAGTAGACAAAATTAAACACAGAAGAGGGGATCTCGGGTGTTGCAAAGCCGTTTTCGTCTGTCTTCGGCGCGGTTAGAGGATTTTTCAATAATTACGCCCGCCTCACCGTAGGACCTAGGTAGTTAGGTACGCTCCAAGCCATCCGTATGTGATCGGTTGGTCGGTCCCTCCAGGAAGTGGTTCTTCACGCTGCGCGGCCGTTCCAGTGCAATCGGTGGTGAACGGCTCGCGCCGCCATGGATCAAAGGGGACAAGGCTATTTATTCCTGATGGGTGGCGTTCGTAATGCATTCAATAATTACGACTGCGGTGCTAGTCGGGGACGACTATGCAACTATAGCAGTGTAGTGCGAGGGCCGATACAACACTCGCCTTGGTCTCGGCCACGGCCTCGACATTGCGTGTGATTGGGCAGGAATCCCGCAGGATGCTGCCTAGATGGGAAAGCACAAATGATTCACTCGTAACAATCATATCGAGTTTTGACGATTGTTTGGGCCGCGGCACAAGTGACGCGCGTGGAATTGGGTTCGTTGCCGGCTGGCAGTAAGCGGGGAGGTAAGACAAGTGTCAAAATGTCGTACAAGTGTCAAACAGTAGTACGAGTTGCCGAAACTGGACTGGCAGCACCTTAAATACTTTTTGTGGTGGGAATTGACCCCTCAGGAAGACCTGGTTTCGATTTGGTCCCAAGTTGGGGCTGAAACTGGCCAGGGGGCCCGCCGATCAGCCGCCGCTCCCAGCCCTGTGGGGTTGCAAATCGGCCGTGGGCGCCGATCGGAGTTTCCCCACTGGGCCGGTCGGACTTTTGGTTGAAACCGGCTACTGTTCCAGGGCGCCGTGGTTTCCGGCGGCGGCCTCATTAGTTAGGCCACAGCAGAAACACGAAATGCCTGGCGAGCGGGTCCCTGTCAGCACACGCTGTGCGACGAGCGACCTACTGTAATTTAGTGAGTGCTCGCTGAAATACAGCGCCTTCGAGCGCTAAACCTTTTCGCTTTCAAGGTGCCCTTGGAACGGACATTCTGGGCAATGGAGGCGACAATCGAAGCGTAAGACAGATTATTCGTAGCGCAAGATAGACCTTATGCGAACGATATATCAATCCTCAATTTAGATACTCTAGCCGAGCTAGCTTAGTGGTAGAATGTGTACGTGTTCGTTACTCGTGTTTGGTGGTAGTCAGGTTAATTTTGGTGCAAGCCTTTTGTCCTGAGGTGAGAGATCGGGGTGCCTGCCCGCTCAGGCGGGGATAGAAGTAAGATGGAATGTCCCGCCATGGTGCCTGCCCGCTCAATCGCGAAGAAACGTAGACATTTGCGCTCGATCCGAGCCTGCGCTCCTACACGGATAATGATGCATTGCGTTTTAGATGCTTCGTTTGTGCATATAATAATAATGGCTCGATTTGTATATACTACAATGAATCCTGTTGAACCCCGTCAAATCCCGTCGTGGGGTCTAAACGTGCCACGCGGGCAATCAGCCCTTCAGGGCTTGCCACGCGGGCACTCAGCCCTTTAGGGCTTTCCACTGCGGCTTTGGGCGTCTAACGCCCCCTAGGGCTTGGGGAAGTCCCTGGCGGGCCAGGTGAGACGACCACCCCAGGCGGCACGGATACAGTCCCAGACCAGACTAAGCCCGTAACTGTCTTAGTATACGCTCTTGGCACTTCTTGTCATCCGAGCTATGGATCCTTCGGCCGCCTCGCAAGCTGGGGCCTCAACAGGCCAAGTGTTCCAGCTCTCGCTCGTAACGGCAACTCCTTTTGGAATCGTCTCAAATCAAGGCCGTCGTCGAATTCTTTGATCCTCTAGGAGGATTTAGTATGCTTTTGCTGGAGTGTGGGCCTTTGGGCGTGTTCTCGTCCGAGATAAATAGAGCATCCCTGGCGCAGTTCATGACCATCAATCAACAGCAGCATCATCACCATCTTCTCCGCATTCAGCTCTTCAGCTCATCACTCCTTTCACACCAAACCAAACTTTTTACACAAAGCACTGACTCAAACACCAAATTACTAAAATGGTCTCTATGAAGTTCACCGCGGCTGCTGGTAAGGCCGCCCCCGAACTCACCCCACTTCCCCAATAATTAGAGATCCCGAGGCTAACCACAATGTTTGTGCCCACGCAGTCCTCAGCATGCTGCTCGCACCCGTCCTGGCCCTCAGCCCCGAGGTGATGGAGCGCCAGATCGAGGAGCGGCAGGCGGCGGACCCGCAGAACATGGCCGGGGCCGGCAACGGCGCCGGGTCGCAGTTCATCGGCGGCGCCTGCAAGTCGTCGGCCGACTGCGACGTCGCCGCCAGCCGTGGACCCCCGGCCACGTGCGCCCGCCTCGCCGGCCGCACCGACATTGGCCAGTGCTCGGGCATCTGCGTCAGCTTCGCCGCCCCCAAGGCCGGCGCCGGCTTCGGCGACTCCTCGCCCCCCACGGTCCCCGCGTCCGCCAACTGCCCTGGCGAGCAGGCCAAGATCAACGCCGCTTTCGGCAAGAAAAAGTTCTAAACAGCGCCCGAACTCGGGCTGTTGTCCCTCGCTTGATCGGCGGGTGTTGCTACTATCATCGCAGCTACCCCCTGCCGCTCCCTTCGTTCGTCTCTGCAGACCGCATTTTTGCTTAAGTAGAACTAGTCGCTACTCACCCAGAGGAACAAGAACCCTGCTTGCATCTCTCGCCATCGTCGTGGCTCTAGAGCGCTAGATAGACCCTAGGTCGCACTCGAAAACCCCACGCTCGCTTCGTCCTGTATAGTGTATCATCCATCTGTCATTATCATATATACCATTAGACTGTTAGTAGCGTATATCACTCGCCTCTCGCTTATAGACGTGATAGCAATTTATACCACATTTACTCTCTTTAACCTATTAATGACGATGCAGACTGTCAGTCTTTGTAAGTTTTCGGGGTGAGTGTTTGCTCTCTGATTCTACTTCTGCGTCGACTGTTCCGAGACTCACTCTGACGTTCGGATCATTTATAGCCTTCCCTGCGATGGGCACACGGTCGTCAAAATTGCTTAGCCTTGTGTTGTAGTTGTGTATTACTGCTCCACTAGAAACCGCCAACCAACTAGTTCACTTACTGCCTTCTGGGGCTGAGAGGGCAAGTTGGAACTTGGATTTGCTGCTTAAGAAGCTTTATCTATTAGCCTAGAACGACAAGTAAGTTTATTTCAACGTGTATACATAATGTTTGCAAACTTCTACCGTTTGAGCAACCGATCCGCCGTTCTGCCATTATTGTGAGTTGAGGTATTTCTTGAAAGGGAGGCAAACAATAACAATCCGGTCTCTGTCGTCTAGCTCTGCATCGCGATCGACCAATACCATGCTCATCGACGTTCTTCATTATTTCTTTCGAGCTCTTCGTCCAGTTTTGAGCAGGCATGCATAGGCGAAGGAGTGTGAGGCGAGTTTCGCTGCAAAACACCATCTCGGAGAAAGTCTCGGTGACCTAGCTACGTCGACGCGAAAGCGCGCCCACTTCCATAACAATTCTGTAATTTCGTAAATAACACACCCATCTTGCTCTGCAAAATAATAGCCCACTGCTACCTGGGAGCTCATTTTCCCTTCACACCGTTTTTGGCTCGGGCACCCAGTAGCGTCACTCTGCTTGTAAAGGTCTTGTAAAGGTAGCGTAAAACTCCAGTCTGGTGACCAAATTGAACCGTTCAGATGGAGATCTAGGAGTAAAATTCCCAATGACGTTGCTCACCAGTAGCTCAGAATCGATGGTACATAAACATCGAACCAGCCTCTGACCCACGCCTCACTTCTCCTTCACATCTTCAAACCGCCCCAAATCAGACCAGGCAACTTCACTTTCTCAACCTCAAAACAAGCAACCCGCACCACTCAATATTGCGGATAAAGCTGCCGTCCTATCTACCATTTTCAATCCACAATCGACAACCATGACCGCGACATCCGCCGAGGGAAAGGCTGCGCAGCCTATTCAACGCAAGGCCTCATCCGCCTCGGAGATGGTGGACGGCTAGACCTGCTCGAGCTGCGGAAAGACCAACAATAACGGCGGCTCCAGCACCTGCGGCCACTGCGGCGTGCGCAACTAGCGGCATTTCTTGAAGGACTGAAGGTATCATTCGCTCGCTTTCTCGGGACTGGCAACTTGAAAGGTTTTTTTATTAATATTGACGCTTGAAAATATAGTTAATTAGCCATAATTGATCTGGCTCGAACTCCCCGCGGAAAGGTGGACTGATGAAAGTTTTCTTAGACTTGAGCCGGGTACAGAATAAAGCCGCATGTCTCACTCTCCTGCAAATATGCTGCTTGTTCAGATGTCTGATGGAAAAGTGACTTCTAATTCGGCTGAACGGAGCCACCGTAGGCGAGCTTGCGAGCCGGAGGTGGCGTAGAGAGGCTGTATTCTATATTATAGTGAGGGTGCCGAAGTTTCTCGCATCGGGATTGGCCAGTTTACGTCCGTGTCGAAATGGACAACGGGGACTGGTCGATTGGATAATCCTCGGACGTGTTAAGCCGTTAAATGCCGCTTTGCTGTGTTGTGAGGCCGTCGAAGGAAGGAACACCTTGGGGGGATTCCTAATTGGTACCTGGGAGGAGGACGGACCGCTTTGTAAGCTATAGGGCCGCGGGCTAAGAGCGCCGCAGGCACTGGGGGTCTTAGGGGGCTTGCCCCCTAAAAATCCAATAATTAGACCATGAACATCGAAATATAGAATTATCACGAGAATTTGTTTCGGTGGTAGGATAGCTATCAATCCGTTGTGGGTGGTCCGTGCCTCCGTGGGGTACCTTCAACTTTCTAGCCAGCTCCCCCCGACAAAATGAACCAGTTTCTTCGTAATATAACTTCAATCGCACGCCCGATTTATCGCTTTCCAGCTATGAACAGGCACGCCGAATACTTTACGATTATTACCCTATTATTCTCTACTAATATATTACCCGGAACGCGTGTTTTTCGAGGCGCCGCGATGGCTGCGGTCGGGGTCCCTCAACCGCAGCCCCCACCGCCCGATGCGCCAAATGCAGGCGCCAAATCTAGGCGGCTATTGGCGATGGATTTCTTATAGTTGCTCAGGCTCCGCATTATGGTGAGGTCCCCGTACTGGAGCACGACGTCGACCTTGTCGGGGAGCGACGCTGGGCCGGGGAAGGCATCGTCGTACGTATCTGAAAGAATGAGGAAGGTAGTCGCCATTATGTTGGGTAGTACTATTTTTCAAATACGGGCCTGCCGACTGGGACTTGGTAAGAAATAGATCGGGCTACTATCTTATTCAAGCTAGGGTTCATCGACTCTAAGAAGCCTGACGGTGATGATGACGTTGATTAGTAGGAGTTCGCTAATCCCGACGGGGGTGAGCCTGTTTGGTGCCATCGGCGGCGCGGCGACGGCTATAGTAGCAATGACGCTAAGAGACGAAAAAGATATGCTGCCGCTACGGCCACCACTGGAATGCCACTGGCGTAACGACACGATTGAGCCTAAAAGAATACTGGCAAGGCCGCCCGTGAAAAAAGAAGTGCCAAAAACATACAGCACTAGGGATTCGCTGGTGGCCACCCACCCAACTACTAGTCTAGCGGTCAGAAGCCTTGTCTCTGAGACTCAAAGTGGCCGAAAATGAGGGTATACAGGAGTCGAAAATGGGGCTCCAGAAGTGCACCGAATAAAAATGCGGCGTCTTATCTCTTATCTTGATTAAAACGGATTCCGTGTCGAGTTTAGCTGATAGAATGCCGTTTTTAGAAAGAGCTTTAATGTACGCACCCACCACTTTTTTCGTCGCACCCACCTGGCATGTTGGCAGCTGGCAACGCAGGGACCGCTTTTTGTATGGTAAGTCAGGTGACCAGCTTTTAGACCAACCCCCTTTTAGACCACGCACTAAAATCGCCACCCCACCACATCATAAAATTCAATTGCTCGCAGCTTCGTCAATTCGATAGCTACGTTAATACAGTTTGTAGTGTCAGATTCCTCTTCTTCTGAAATCTCAGAATCTGTAACATTCTCCCCAGCAGCTAATCTTTGTGCGCGGCGGATCTCTGTGACGAACCTGGTTCGTACTGGACAGCTGCAGGAGGCAGGCGCCTCAGGCAAGACTGGGGCCCCGCTCGTCGAGAGCCAATCAGACGGTGCACGGTGCCAAGAGGGCTCTTGGCACCAGGCAAACGGAAGGACGGCCAATCAGAGGTGGCCCGGTGCCAAGAAGGGTCTTGGCACCAGGCAAATGGCCCGGCACGCTAGCAGTGCCCGGCGCCAGGCAGCTCCTTCCTGCCGGGCAAGTAAGAGCTGTGCTCTTACTGGCCCGCCATAATTAAATAAATACGATGACCGTATCCACGGTCTTAGATAGTTCTTGCTTGGTTCTTCAAGCAAGCAATACACATTCACTGCACTCATACACTTTGAGTGGCATTCCGATTTGACTGTATTACCCGTGCGATAGGAGCTTGCCCTTTGTTCTATCTTCATAATTACCAACCCAGCATTCTGTGGAGCCCGTGCTCCCTTACAGACAGACGACCCTAACAGTCGAGTGGTTTGTAATAATCTCCTCAATACCAGCAAAGGCCTTATTGGGGTCGATTTCCACCCTCCTTCTCTTCCGGCCTCTCGCACGTTCGAGGTCTTCCTGGGCCGCTTGAAATTGTTGTTAAATGGTGGCCAATTGGAAGGCCATGTTATCGAATCCTTTGTAGGCTTTCCGCATACAAAGCCGTTCGCTGGCAGTACGTTTAGTACCACGTAGAAAACGCTCCCCCTGAGCCGAGAAATCCTTGGCCTTTTTAGGGGTAAACCACAAAGGCCGGCCCTCCGAATTCTTGCCCAGAATGGGGTTATTGAATGACTCAAGGCCTGCAGAAGGTGTGGGGGCTACCGTACTAATGCAGCCATTGGAATTCTTAATAACGAGGCTGTTGCTTAGGGGCTTCCTTAGGGAGACTGGCCACAACCCTGAGGCCTTCCAACCAGCCTTGATATTTGACTCGGTCATTCCGTAGATTCTGGCGTGCCTGTATCATTCTAAAAAGGCTCGTTTTGCAGCTACAGAGTCGCTGGTTAGGCCAGAAAGCAAGTCATTCAGCGGTGCCCTGTACTTAGCCTTCAGCGGGCCGAAAACGGCTACATCCACGGGCTGGAGAACGTGAGAGGTGTGGGGTGGCAGAAATAATAACTGTACGTTGTTGGTAAAAGCTAGCCACATAAATTTCTCAGTGGTATGACTGCCGTGGCCATCCAAAATAAGGAGGCGTTTCTCCTTAGGGTTGGCCGGCCGAGTGGCCGGAAGAAAGACTTCGCGGAGCCATTCGACGGCAGTGTCATCGTCAGTCCACCCGTTTTTGGTTGGTTTGAAGACCCAACCTTCGAATGGGGTCAAATCGCGTGGGTACCACTGTTGCTAAAGGCTCCCACCCTTGAAAATAACCAGTAGGTTCAAAAACCGGCCGTCGGCCGAAACACACTCTAGAATGGTCGTCCAAATTCGGTCTCCAGACTTCCTCTTTTGTAAAAGCTTTCTAGATTTGGAGCCTACAACCAGACCGTTATCTCCAATGCCATTAGATATGCCAGTTTCGTCCATATTGTACCTGTTCTCCGGCAGAATGGCCTTAACCCCTAGAAACTCCAGGTAGTCAAACCAGGGCCGAATAACGGCCTCGCAGGCTCGGTCAGCACGGTTTGTGTGGATTCTCCATGGTCTCTTGGTAGAAGTGGAAGGATTTCGGTTCAAAAAGCGGCGGCACCAGTGCTTTCCAAGGTGGGTTGGCTCTCCAGAGGCTGCGAGTATTCTGGTACCCAATTTCCGGATTTGCCTGTGGGTTGGGGGGTTGCTAATGACCCCCTGGAAGAGAACCCATTCTGCGAGACGTTCTTCCAGTGCCGGAAAAAGCTTCTGATTGATTATTTGAGAGTAGGTGGCTGGATTGCTGCCTCTGGATCGATAATATAAAGTGTTGTGGGGGATGCCGTGGTTTTTGGCCGCATCTGTCACCGCACAGTCAACTGTTATGAGGCAAGGCTGCAATGTAGTCGCTGTATTCGTAGAATCTAAAGCTAAAGAAGGAAAAAAAGGAAACGGATTGAAATCAAATTCGTGAAGTTGTGGGCGATTGAAATAGAAGAGTTAGGTAGCAAGGGTTAGTTATCCTTCTAGAACCTTGTGGTCTAAAAGGGGGTTGGTCTAAAAGCTGGCCACCTAACTTAAAATGCCGTATTGCATGGCAGCCACCCAACGCCCTACCATGCACTAAGGAAGCCCGGTAAAGTAAAAATGCTACTATTTACGCCGTCACATGCCGGGCTTTTGCGCGCACTTGGTGTTTTAAGGTCTGTAGTGGCCAGGTGGCCTTTGCAGACCTTTGTATGCATATGCAGTCCTTTCCTGTGCCAAAGAACACATCGTCAACCTATCTTTCCGCTCACAGCCTTCATGATGCCTCTGATCGAGATTTCCTCTGACGATTCGAGCTCCCTAGCTCCCTCGCCCTCGCCGTCCCCGGCTCCGACTCCCTCTCCCTCTCCCCCGCCCTTGCCGGGTAATTCGTGCCGTGATGATTTCTCGCCTGCGCCTTCGGCCGGCTCAGACTCAGAGAAAGCCGAGGCGTACGGACCTGAAGATACATGGACTGTCGATGCCGTCGGCGAGCCTCTCTTCTGCGGGGACTCCGCTGACGAAGTCACAATAATGATAACGTGGGTGAAGAAAAACAAATGCGGGCTCTTCATTCAACGAAGCTATCAACACAAAGACTGGGGAGACGGAAAAATTCTTCTTTCAATGCGATCAAGCCGATTACGACAGACATCCCGTCAAAACCCTCGAGGCCCGGGAGACAAGCAGCAGGAAGAAAGCAAAAGACTGTCCCTTTCGCATATGCCTTCAGAGAAAGGATCACGATGACGGCTGGACTGCTAGGCCGCTTAACCTCACACACAAAGGTCATGGACCCTCGGGCTCTCCTTCACAGCATGAAATGTTTCGCCGTAAAGCAACCTATCAGGAAGAGGACTACATCGTCGATTTAACGCATCAGTCTATTCCAGCGAAAGCAGCCCTCCGCCTCTTCAAGACGAAGTTCCCATATTCTAACATCATCACGACCGACGTCTACAACATCATGCGGGACTACAGGCAGTCACAGAGAGATGGCTACGCTGATGCCCAAGCATTTGTCAAGAAGCTAGAATCGGGAGATTACTATTGTAACATCATCTACAAGGACAACACGAAAACAAAGATGTTACATGCCTTCTGGGTAACACGGCGTCAGTTGAAGATGTGGGTGAAGTTCGGGGCCTGCATAGGCATCGATGCAACCTACCGCGCAAACAACCTGCGCATGCCTTTGGTAACTGGCGTTGTTGTGACTCCTGAGAAAACCACGATGCCTCTTTTCCAAGCGCTTTTGAGCAACGAAAAGGAAGAAGGCTACCAGTTCCTTTTGGAATCTGTTGCTCGCTGCCGGAGGCACTTTTCTACACCTCTTCCTCGCGTGTTTATTACAGACGGTGATGAACAGTTGGTCGGCGCCTTGATCATGTTTTCCCCTGACGTACAGAGTCAGCGTTGTGTGTGGCACATGAATTGCAACATGGTGTTGTACATCACAAGAAATACTGGATCAAGCCCCCAACCGACCGGCCTACCCGGAATGCCACTGCCGCCGAGAGAGCCGGGGACTCCGAGGAGGGCGACGACGACGACGACGATGCCGAGGACATCGCTACGATGAATGCCCTCAACTCGAAGACCCAGTCGACGAAGAAAGGTCCCGTTGTTCTCGGCGCTGTACCAACGAAGGTGGCCAACACAAGAGCGGGTCTTTTCGAGCCTTGGAAGCATATGGTGTTTAGTCGGTCGGTCCGGGACTTCAACAAAGCGAAGACTATATTGAATCGTCAGTTTTCGACGACTCAATCACGAATCGTCAATCACATCAACAAGGACCTGCTTCTATACAAAGAACAGTGGGCGGGCTGTTATACGAAGATGTAAATGAATGCGGGCGTGCGAACCACATCGCCGAATGAATCCAACAACGGCTCGGTAAAGTCGGAAGGCCTGTCGGGTCGGTCGGGCCTCATCGAGGTCCTTGAGGCTGTAGATCGGCATGTTACCTACCGCTACGATGTCTACAAAGAGGCAACAGCTAAGTCGTCAAGCTCGGTGCCAAAGGCATACCTTTTGAAGAAGTGGCTTGGTCCCTGCCTTATGCAGTTAACTCGGTGGGCTCTAGATCTCCTTGTCGAACAACATAGGAAGATTACTTTCCCTACCGCTACAACGCCCGGCCGACCTCTTCCTCCCTGCACCGGAAGATTCGGTAGTCAGTACGGCTTGCCCTGCGCGCATACGATGCTCGAAAGATACAATGATGATCACGAAGACAGTGTTTTGGTTGACCCACTTGACTGCGACCGCACCTGGCATCTCAAAAAGCACAGAGTAGGTCGTCATGAATCCTTTTACCTTGTTTTCCCTAGCTAATTTGCTTCCAGGACGCGGAAGATAAGTATCCACGGATCGAAAAGCCCGACAAAGCGATGCCGAAAGGTCACCCTGTCAATCAGGGCGGTCCTTTTGAAAATGAAGCCATCCTCCCGGAGCCACCGGCGCCGAAGACGAAGACAGCAGCCCGGAGCGGCACGATTCGCCGGGACGCGCGGCGTTACTATTCACAGTTCGAGGTAGCCGGGCCGAGCCTAGAAGAGCGGGATGAACAAGATGAACAGGATGAAGAAGACATGGAGATTGAGTCGGACTGCATCGTCGTCGGCGCAGGGACAAAGAGAAAGGCAACAACACAACAGAGGAAGAAAGGGAAGAAAAGAAAGACAACGAAGAAGACGAGCAAGCCTGTCAAGGACAAGGCGAGCCGCCCGGGCCGGGCCAAGACCCACCTCTATGACATAAAGGTAAAAGAGTGGTGGGACCGCAGGGCTCAACGCAGGAGCTCGTGGGAGGTTTCAAACACTGATGAAGACGTATTCTTCGATTCCTTGGATGAAGATGACCCTTTTCCTCGTAAGGAGGACTTCATAGATAACTAGGTTGCTAGATTGACGGGCTCAACACCAAGGAATTGCATCACCATAACAAACTAGGTTATCATTAGACTAGATTGCTAGACTCAACACCAAGGAATTACATCACCATGTCAACAAATCAGGATTCAACGCATTGCTCGGGTAGCTGGGCGCATGCGATGGAATTTGGCTAATTTATTTACAAATCCGAGCCTCAAAGTTGCCATTTGCAAGTTGCCTTTATTTCGAGCTGACTCAGCAACGAAGAAATCGTCAAAATGGAAAACACCACGGTAAACGCGTTTTCAGGGCATTTGAAGGGTTTGACGGCCTCAACGCCGTTGACCCGGGCTGCCGGGCTGCATGGCAGGCGCATGGGCGGCCGGATGGTAATTCAGTATTTTACCGGCTTAAATTAGGCTCTGAGTATCTCAGTTGCCAGCAGCTGTCAATATCCCCAGGTGGGTGCGACGAAAAAAACGGTGGGTGCGTACATCAAAGCTCTTTAGAAACGCCTACTACTCCGTCTCGCATAGGCACGTAAAATGGAATGCACCCAATTAAAACGCTACGGAATATACCGTGAATAGAGCTCTTAGCGGTACCATGCAGGCTCTTGTACCCGATATTTACCCAATTCTGCCGAAGCTCCCCTGCTAGCGTAGATAGCTTCCTCTTTTCCTTCCTTGGCTTTTAGATTCTCCGAATATACGGAATAGTACAGACCGAAATCAGTGTCCTGTCACGGCAGGTGCCAGACAGGTGGTAAGAGCTGGCACACCCCGACCAGACATACCTGGTTTAGGATGTGGTCAGTGCATAACCTCACCAACTCAACCTATTTCTCTGCGCCCCTCGCAGCCTCTGGAACTTTCTTTCCTTTTTCTTTCCTTAGCTTTAGATTCTACGAATACAGCGACCATATTGCAGCCCTGTCTCAAATTAGTTGACTGTGCGGTGACATGTCCACGATTTCAATGTTCAAACTTTCTCCGCACGGGCCATTTTGTCCTGGCTGTGGGTCACACAGTACATCGCAGGTCGCTTCATGTTACGGGACGGCCGAACTATGGTCCGTGGTGCCGTAATCATGCGCTAAGGCTGCAAGCCCCACTTGCAGCCCCACTCCTAATCGGGACTCGCGTACACGTGACCTCATCCCACCACCACAAGACTGGCGCCTGCAGGACTCGCAGGCTTCTTCCTTTTCCTTTCCTTTCCTTAGCTTAGTTACTTACGAATTCAGCCACTATTTACTTGCAGCTTTGCCTCTTGTATTTGCCTGCCTTCACACTTTATACCGAAACAAGTCAGCTCCAAAACTTGCTGGAGACGGGAGCCGGAAGCTTGGGGGAACAAAAATGCATTGACTGCTTTCGGCGCTTGGCTTGCGCGCCACCACGTGCGAACAAGTCCTGTAACGACCGACTAATCAAATACAAGGTCACAAGGCGCAAACTAACTCACTAATTGCATACAATACTGTCCAGTACATACTATACTTATCACTCGTCTCATAAGAAAAAGTTAGAAGAATCCTCCAGATACGTACAAAGTAATAATAAGAGTGCGTCTCCTCCGACTGTTAAAACGTCTCCATATACTGTAGGTACATAGGCGCCCAAGCGTTACAGCTCACCGCCCATGAAAATACCACATTTTACAGTCAAAATTACCACATTCGCTGGCTTCCCGGCTCCAAGCGCTGGCAACGCAATTGTACCGCAATTGCACCTCGCCGCCGTCGCCAACGTCAACACATTTTCAAATGCGGTAATTGAAGCTCAGGACCGTAGATTCGCTCAAATCGTTCAAATCTCCAGTAAAATGCGAAGCTGACTTCGTTGAATTCGCTTACGTAATAGGGCCAAAAATGCAATAAAAGACTACAGGCCTGCTTACACTACTCACAACTGCATGCAACTGACGGCCTTACTGATCCATGCCTTCTAAGGCCCGGGCAGTCGGCTGCGGGACCCTTCCACTTCGTGTAGGCCGTACAATACGACCTTCAGCCACTGCAGAGGCTGCAGGGCCACGTGAAGCTCGTGATGTTGTTGTGCCGCCCCGGCCTCCCCTGCTCCCTGAACCCCGGGTGCCACGGCGAGCCGAGTCAAGGTTGTTGACGGTACGGCGGGGAGGCGGCTGGCTAAGCTCGTCAACGTCGTCGTCGTCAACATCGTCGTCGTCATCGTCAAGGGTGGCGCCCTCCCACTGTGAGGGATTCCGCCGAATGGAAGGCATAAGCCCGGACTGCCTGCCCGGCTGAGTGGTCGGGACACGCGGAGCGTTCGGCTCGGCTGCGAACGCCGTCGTGTTGCGAGGCCTGCCTCGAAGGTGCTCAACCCTGTCAAAGTCAAGGTACCGCAGGTACTCGTCTTCATCAAGTAATGACCTTTCCAGGTACTAATATGGATGGAAATTAACCTTCTGAAGCTTCAGAGTACCTGCCCTGTGACGTTTAAGAAGCTCGTGAGAGTAAGGAATGCCATACTGCGCCCGAGTACTGCCAGTGCAAGGCTCAAGGGGTCGCGGGCGGTCTTCCAGTGCCGGCTGAATCTTTTGGTACTGTTGAACAACACGATCGAGGGCTTCATAACATACGTTGTAAGGAGCCTCGCCTAGCCACTGCTTTCCTAGGTAATCGAAGCGAATGCGGTTTTGTTGGTTACGAGTCTCTTCATTACAGGCTTCCTTCATGCCCTCCACCATATTCAAGCTCTGTTGAATTGTACGTGTTATCGTACAACTGGACCCGAGGGAAGGGTTTCCACTGCTCCTCACACCACTTAGGGGCCCAAAAAAGTCCGCGTGGCTTGTCAGGGTTGTCGGTAGACCAACGAACTTTGTAGTATATGCCGGCATCGTCAAGCAACTTCATCGTGGCCTGGAATGGTGTATATCCTTTCAGGGCAAGCTTTCGAAGACGAAAACGGCATTTTCGTAGCTGGCCGCGTATGAAAATAAGGTCCGGAAAGGCCCTACGCAAGTCTTTGGCAACCTCCCTATTGAGGACAGCTGGGCGGTCGATGTATTCGGCGATGACTGCTTTATGCTCAGGACCGAAAACGACTTTGGACCTCAGAAGGTTGAAGTCCCGGTCGCTCGGTGGATCATCTGTATGCTCTGTATGCTCGGGATGAAGCTCAAAGGTCCATTTCCTATCGTTAGGAACGAGGGCTTTGGCTACGCCCTGCCAAACGCAGCCTCTGTGATCGGTGGTGGTTTTGTTCACTGTTGCCCTGGATTGTTGGATTCTTCCACGTTGACAGCCAAAATCGACCCTGGTTGCGCCGAAGTCCTTGGCGTAGTTGGAGGCTCGTATTTTGAACGTATTGAAGCTCGTAGAAGCGGTCCATTCGTTCAAATCGTTGATAAGATCATCGAGGCTGTCATATTTCGTGATCAAAAGCTTATGGCCGGCAGGTGGGTTCGAGAGGGGTGGTGGTACCGGCGGCGCCGGATCGGGCGCATCGCTGAGATCGCCAAAGTCGCTAAGATCGCTCAGATCTTCAAGGGCGGCCATTTCTATCGCTAGTTAGTACTACGCGACGAAGTAAACAATGAAGAAATGAAGCCATACCGATGCATCGATTGAATGCAGTGCCGACGATGTTTTTTAGTGGTTATAGAAGGTCGGTTGCAGTGGAAACGTAAGGTTCGGTTGCGTTGTGGTAAAAAATGGTAAATTACTGCGCGGCAGAATGTTGGATGTACTGGCGGGCTGGGTATGTGGCCAGGGTTAGGGTTCTGTGTGGTGGATTATAGTATTTGGGGACGTTTTAACAGTCGGAGGAGACGCACTCAATAATAAAGCCCACCCTAGCTACTCCACTTTGCAACGGTGGCCAAAGACGATAGCGTTTCGGGATGCTTTTGGCCAAGAACCCGCCGTTGAGCCTGGGTGCAATCCTCCATCAGAGCTAAAGCATTAGCGTGTCGACCTTGACTTTTCCAAGTAAAAGCGAGGTTGGCCATGCTCGACAGCGTATCTGGGTGATCGGCCCCGAGCTTGGTCTTGCTCGTCTCCATCACCTGCACCTCCAGCTTCTCGGCCTCCTCCCACCGGCCCTGGTTCCTGTATGTCGACGCTAGGTTGGCCATGCTCGTCAGCGTAGAAGGGTGATCGGCCCCGAGCTTGGTCTTGCTCGTCTCCATCACCTGCACGTCCAGCTTCTCGGCCTCCTCCCACCGGCCCTGGTTCCTGTATGTCGACGCTAGGTTGGCCATGCTCGTCAGCGTAGAAGGGTGATCGGCCCCGAGCTTGGTCTTGCTCGTCTCCATCACCTGCACGTCCAGCTTCTCGGCCTCCTCCCACCGGCCCTGGTTCCTGTATGTCGACGCTAGGTTGGCCATGCTCGTCAGCGTATCTGGGTGATCGGCCCCGAGCTTGGTCTTGCTCGTCTCCATCACCTGCACCTCCAGCTTCTCGGCCTCCTCCCACCGGCCCTGGTTCCTGTATGTCGACGCTAGGTTGGCCATGCTCGTCAGCGTAGAAGGGTGATCGGCCCCGAGCTTGGTCTTGCTCGTCTCCATCACCTGCACCTCCAGCTTCTCGGCCTCCTCCCACCGGCCCTGGTTCCTGTATGTCGACGCTAGGTCGGCCATGCTCGTCAGCGTAGAAGGGTGATCGGCCCCGAGCTTGGTCTTGCTCGTCTCCATCACCTGCACAAACAGCTTCTCAGCCTCCTCCCACCGGCCTTGGTCCAACAGGACCCTTGCAAATAATAACATACTATCTAAAGTCTTTGTATCGTCTTTTCCTAACGTCTTCTCACGGTTCCTTTGGGCCTTGCCTATCATCCGTTCTGCCACCTTATACCTGCCTTGCGACCACGCATACCACCCTCCGTTATACATAAGACTTGCCCACTCCTCTATGCTCTCTTCGGCTGGTCGCTGATCTATAGCCGCTTCAACATGGGCAAAGAGCTGCCGGCACGTCGCCCAATTATCGTAGTCTCCCGTAGGAAACGCCGTAGCTATCCGCTTAATAAATTGCTGCCTGAACTTGTCTTGTAGCCCGTCCGACTCTAGCCACCTCCGCGTCGATAGTTGTACGAGCCCGTGTATCTCAAATGCACTACCGTCCTCGTCGACGGTTATAAGACAGAAGTCTCTTAGCATGGCCACATCGTCCTCA